TTATGAAATATCAACAAGCAAAATATGAAAACAGTAGAAAATTTTTATTGTCCGATAGAGAAAACCATACGTTTAATAATTCAAATGCATCATTGGCTACACATGTACATATTTTATTGTAAGTTTACTTTTGATTATTAATTTGAAAACTTATTTGAAAAGTAAAACAGGACAGAAATGACCACAACGCATTTAGTACAGATTGTCCGGTTAGGAGAAAATGGGACGCCCTGGCAAGGTCATCTATAGCATATTGCTAAAGTGGTCCCAGGAGCAACCGAGCACCAAATCGACAATCAAAGATATCACGTTGTTCAAGCAAATCTTCAAAGAAGCGAATTAGCAACTACCGCACTATTTATGCACACGGCAAAAAGCAAGACCCCCTTTGCTATGGTCCAGGAACCGTATATCGGTAATATTGGTTAGATGTGGTACTATCCAGGGATAAAAATCATACAATACAGCGTAAATCAGCCAATTTAAAAAGTGGTTAAGACAGCTATTGTTGTATTCGACGACACCATTGACGTCTCCCAGAGTCCGGATCTCACCATGGAGAACGTGGTAGTCGCCAAGTTGAGAACCGGAGCCTGGGAGATTGGGGTGGTGTCGATCTACCTGGAGTGCGAAAAACCCTAATAATTAAAATGTAATCTATATTCATTATAACAAACAATTTAATATAAAATAAAAAATAAAGTTACAACTCTACCACGTCCCACAGCTGGGCACATGCTTCCTCTCATTTGTTCTTAGGGAGCAGTTAGTTTGCTATGATGCTTAATCGTGTGACATCAATTTCTAGAAATTTTATTTTGTAACATGTAAGTTTTCTAATGATATTTTCTTTTCACACACTTTTTTGTAGTTAATTAGCACTTAAAATTACAATTAACAATTTTATTGGCGCCGGCGGAGATTGAACTCGAGTCATGCTCATCACGAGTGTTCATGAGTAATTTAATTCATTTTTATTCAAGGTTAACCGAAACAACTTCAAAACTTTAAATTACCACGAAATCAACTTTCGAAGGTATTAACCTATTCTTAGTGCAACTTATAGCTTGGTGATAGTACCTTACTTCTGAGCCGTAAATTGTGGATTCAAATTCTAACGATACTCATTTTGTTGGTTTTCGGGTCTCTGTCTACTTTTACATCCTAGGCTAGGACAGGCTAGGAATTTCTTAGCCTGTCTTCGATCATAAAGAATTCTTTGTACATCGGACCCGAGAGAACTAGAATAATTGAGTGAACTAATTGCTCAATAAAAACCAGTATGTCCCTCAATAGTTGTTTGTAGCACTTTTGTTAATAGAACCCAAACGATGAGTTGTGGTTAAAACCGCTAAAGTAATATTTTTTTATAGTCGTATCTCAAAATATTCTCTATATGAAATCTTTAATCAACACGGATAAGTCATAGCTATAGATTATTTAGATCATAAAGTTAACAACTCGTTTGTACTCTGTAGTGTCCTGTGATCCGGTGATAGAACGAATAGTTTTATATATTTTAAATGTATCTAATACACTCTAAGCTTAAAACCAACCACAATCGATGTATCTGGTTTTAATCGGCTAAGTCTGTTATATTTTTAATTAAATAATATAAATAACAAAATATAAAATAAAAGAATTCCTTCTGCTACTGGATTAATAAAAAATATTTATCCGTCAGCCTTTATTTTGACAACCATTTGTAAATAAAAACAAAACTCATTTTTTTAAGTCTTTTAATTGTCTTGCTGCATTATAAACACGAACAAGAAGAATAAACATAGGTGATCTCAAATTAAATTCTGCTCACCAATACAAATAAACAAGTGCGTTAACGAAGCTACTGGGTGACATTCAGAAAACATTAGTCAGCGTTCTCAGAAGTTACTGCTGGCATTGAAGAGTAAAATTAGCGGTTATTGTAATTCTATTATTTTATTTTTATTTATATTAATTTTTAATTGTTCGCCTAATTTTGATAAACATTAAAATAAGAATACAGTTATATTATTATTAAAGAGAAATTGTACAAAGTAATTCAATCTTATGAATTATAAAAATCGTTAAGGCTGTAACAATATATAATACTCGAACTTTCTACTAAAAGACTTCAACGCGGTATTTAGTAAAGTTTTCATTAAACCTGTTAGTAAAATTCAACCAAGTTTTTTGTTAAAATATTTGTTTTTATGCATATACCTGAGAAAACAGTTAATAATAACGTGTAACACACTACACGAAGAAATAAGAAAAGTGATGACACTTGTAAAAAAATTCCATATAAAATATTCATCATAACTATCAGAGGGAAATTAATGACAGATACATGGTGAATATTATATATATATATATATATATATATATATATATATATATATATATATATATATATATATATATATTATATTTTTATATGTTGGGTGTAGAGTTTGTAGTGATTGTTGTTTCAATTTAAAGCAATAAAAAATATTGTATATATGTTTCAATTTTATGACTTCTTATTTAATGAGATTATCTAATCAGATTTATCTATAAATAAGAAGTCATTAAATAAGAGGTTTTACTAGAAATAACAAAAAATATAAAAAATAATATAATAATTATTCACATGGTTCTATAATATAAAGTAGGGATAGAGAATTACGGAGTACGTAACTTAAATAAATAATTGAAACATATATCAGACATGATACCGTTGAGTACGTTTTTTTTATTGCTTTAAATCGTGAATTAAGAGTACTGTCGCTATAGTGGCAAATTGACGAGACAACAATACAGTAGACAACCTAATTACAATGTCATTCACTTACAAATCACGTAAACAATCGTACAGGTGACTCCTTAACATATAAAATAAATGGTAACTATGTATTTAATATATATATATATATATATATATATATATATATATATATATATATATATATATATACATATATATATATATTTACTATTTACAAATTAAGTGATGCTATTTTATGGATTTTGTAGCGTTATTTTCAACCATGGGCATGTTCAGCCTATCAGAAGTCCACTGCTGAGCACAGGCTTCCCCATAGCTTTCCTCATCATCTTCTATCATTGCGATGCTTGGCAAAAGGGTTGGCATTTTACTAACCGGTAATTTTGAGTTGTTATCAGAAAAATTCTGCCGCCCATCTTCTGTTTCTTTTCCCTCTGGTACATCTTACGACATCTAAAGGTTGATGTTGTTTAGTAAATATTCTTACATCGCCAGTACATGGCATTATAAGGATATTATTGTACTAAATATAAAAGAATAAAACGTAACAATCGAATTATGTAAATATTGTTACGAGCTTGAGGTTCGTGACAATAAAAACTGCCGATTGAATTACCAAAATTTACACTTTTATTACCGAACACCAATTAAAACTTAAAAGACACTAATAATTAACCACACTGATTCACTTTATTTCGTTTCGAAGCTTCGCTTGTCTCGCCAAATTCAATACTGCCCCGATAGCGGGTTGCGGCGGCTTAAGTACACCTTTTACACCGAAACATCCAGAATTTTCCCGTAGATACGAGCGCCGACCGACCAGACGCAGAAAGTTCAAGTGTGGGGCTTCTAGAAAGCTTAATTCTTCTGTTGGATACTAGATGGCGCTGTTGGTTGAAAGTCAAGATTGACATTTTCTAGGAAGCCCTCCTCGCTCTTTTTCCTGACACTAGATGGCGCTAGTGCCAGGTACCTGACGTCAACTTAGGCGCGCAACAATTATAAGGTAGTTAATAATGGGTAATAGGTAGTTAATAATGCTATTTATAAGGTAGTTAACAATTTACAGAAACTTAGTGTAAAGAAATCTTCATAGAATATGTATTTTTCATTAATTAAGAGGTAATACAGATTTGTTACCTCTAATGTCTATTAGCCTCAAAAAATATTGTACTCGTACCTTCCGTACCTACGTTACCTTGAAGATAGTTAACTATAACCAATTTTGAATATATCAAAACGTTGCGTTTGTGCTGTTAAGTAATTTTATAACAAATAAATCTTTCTACCACAAATATGTATTTAACACTAAGCTATTTTATATTATCCGAACCAGTACTTTTTTTTTGCAAAATTAGTAATGTCTAAAACCGTAAAATTGTTTTATTTCAGAGCTTTTTAGTTAAAGCTCTTCACACTTTTTTATATATTTTATTCATGTACATGTAAATTTAAACATGTAAATTTTAATGTATAATTTAATTTAATTTAAATAATAATAAAATTACATGTAAATTACTAATGTACATGTAATCTACAGGAACTAAGGTCAAGCACGAAATGTTTCATCACGGGCCCTATTTAATCATTCGTTCTTACCTTTATTGAGTAAACGCTTATTACATCAAATTTTAATAGGTCGGGTTAAAATCTGTCTGGAATAAGTTACACCGCCATGAGATAGGTCAGTTTTACACTACTGATGGCTCGTCGTTGAGATAGTGATAGATACTGCTAAGTACGGGAAGAATCGCAAACTGGTTTATAAATTCGGCCGTGCAGCCGGTGGTGCGAAACTACCATCCGCGAGATTATACCTTGACGTCTCTAAGCCAGCTGAAGCCTGCCCAGCTGCATTAGGCAAGGTTATGCTCTAGGATATGTTATTTCCACATGATAGCTTCTGAAGTCAGGAATTTAATTCTTCGATACACTATGTCTTAGCAACCTACTATGTTTTATTCTTTAATATTTTAGTTATTTTACTGGTGGACTATTAAGAATCATAAGATCGAGATAACGACTAGAATGTCGTTTAAATAGTTCCAATATAAAATTCATTCAACATTTTTTACCCTAAAGAGTAAATTTTTCTTTGAAACTATATGGGTGGACCTAGAAATATGACCGAAATATAATATAAATTATTAAAATCGGTTCAGTCATTTCAGAGAAATCGGTGAACATAATATAGCACCTTTCGTTTTTGAAGTCGGTGAAAAGAGCGTGAACCCTGAGAACTAGAAATTTCGCAATGTGGTTCATAAGAAAAATATGTGACCCAGATAATGTACGTGCAATGATGTCTTACGAATACAATTCGTTGCTGCTGATCTATTGGAAAGTAATGTTGATTAGTCAAATGTTACGTCACGGTTGGTCGCGAATCCAACGTACAAACACACTTAGATAAAGGTTGATTTAATTTGTCATCGTTAAGTTGTGCAACAGATGGTAATCATGGTAAATAGACGCGTTGGTATGTGCTTTAAACGAACGCTGGATAAAAATCGCATGTGACTTGCGGACAAAAGCTAATTAATGTGCTCGTGTTAACAACTTGTTATATATGAAAAACGCTCACGTTTTGAAAATTAAATAAATTAAATTTTGAAGCTTATTGAAATTTTTTGAGTAGACAATGGCACTCTTTTTATATCTAGGATTCCATCTGGTTCAGTACCTTCTTACCTATTTCCATAATCAAGTAGCACTGCAACTAATGTAAGCAACAATGGTTGCATTGCTAATTGAATGAGTTGTTCCTAGGTGCCACGGCTTAAATACGTTTAGGGTTTAGATTTAGGGCTGTATTTGACAGTAGAAATTTGATAAGTGTCCTTGGGGCATAGAAATTACACTGCAGTGTTACGGCCTTACTTTTGAGTGATCTACTGGTTCATTCGAAGAAAAAATATTTATTAGAAGAAAAGTTATTTTCGGTTATTATTAGATTTCAGCATCTTTTTTATTATATTTATTTATAGTTCGATATCATTTTGTAATTTTTTAAGCCCTCTAAGCTCAAAGAGAAAATAATTGGCTTATTTTCACTAACCAAATAAATTATTAACTTTGACCGAAATATATTTTTACAGTATTTTTTGTAGAATAAGTATACAGAATTTCATTATAGATTATTAGGTTAACAAGTGTGCGTATACAGTGTGTGTTCAGTGTGCATTCAGTGTGTATACAGCGTGTATACAGTGTGTATACAGTGTGTGTGAGTGTTTATACAATAAGAATAACACTTTATTAGGTTAACAACTGTGTGTAAAACACACGATACGATCGAATAATTTTAACCAAATAAATTATTAACTTTGACCGAAATATTTTTACAGTATTTTTTGTAGAATAAGTATACAGAATTTTATTATATATTAGGTTAACAAGTGTGTGTATACAGTGTGTGTTCAGTGTGTATTCAGTGTGTATACAGCGTGTATACAGTGTGTATACAGTGTATGTGAGTGTTTATACAACAAGAATAACTAGGTTAACAACTGTGTGTAAAACACACGATACGATCGAATAATTTTAAATAGTAAAAATATAGATTGGCAATTGAACTTAAAGCTTACAACTCTTACAAGTCATCTACGTTATCGCATTTATTCATTTATATTATTTTACGCATCATTTACCAACAAATTTATTTGCATATTACAGAGGCAATATTGTTAGTTGTCAATATAAAGCACTACATAGGTCCATGCAACATAAGCGTACATTGCGTAAGGTAGGTAGGTGTTGTATTGATGTTTATGAGTTTTAGTACTGACAGTTTTCTATTGATTTCGTGACATATAGCCTCACCCTATATCATTAAGTCATAAAGAACGTAACATATGTTATTGTCTATCTGTTGGTTGTCAATTATCATAATTTACGAAGCCGATATATGTTGCCTGCAATCGAATATCTCTTCGCTTCTATCATATTATTATAAATTCAGTTCATGACGACGTAATGAGAAAGTGCCAAATAGATGTTAACTGTAATTCTTAATTATTATCATCAATTATGAACTTTGTACCATATTTTTTATACTTCACTGCCATCATTATCATCGTCATTACTTCTTACTATTCGAGCCTATTGCCACTTTAGCTTACTGATCCGTTAGGTCACGTCTGTTACTAGTTCTACTTCGGACACCCTTCATCATGAACTCTATTACGTAGAGATCCTCCATGCATAGCCTTCTTTATAGCTCACTGAGCGACCTTGAGCGTCCTTATATGGCCAGTAGTGAATATCTATGTTTCAGACATATCACTTAACTGGTTGTACACTTTTTTTTTCAAGTTTTAAGGTGATCCGATGTGTCGTAATCGCCCGAACGCTTTTCATGCGAGTTGAATTCGTTGACTGACAATTCGATAGAAAGGGACAAACTTAGTCGGACAATTTATCCTAGGCAAACATACTCGTCAAGAGCTTATAATGTAGTTCAAAAATATATTTATATTTAGTGACAATATCTTCATATTAGGTAAAGGTTGCTCTTCTGTGTACAATTTTAATAAGTTTAAGTGTAAATAAAAATGTGTGTGCCACAGAAGTCAAGTTTTGGTCCGTCCTTCTTTCTTACATACATTAATGATTTGCCATACTTATTCCATAAGGTCATAAGACATAGTTTTGTATGCGAAAGACACTTTATTGATAATCTAAAGATCAGGCAAAAAAAATTACACCGTAAGTGAAATAAATAAAGCTCTTTAATGGTTTTGAATAGATTCCATGGAAATAATTTAGCGCTTAATACTAAAACATCTAAATGAGTCGAATTTGCGTTGGCAAAAGTTAATACAAACATTACGGTTAGGACGTTCATTCACTCATGAAGCAAGCACACAACTATTTAAATACCCTAAATATAATATAGTTCCAGTAAAATCTCTTGACTATTCACGACTAACACAAATTAAGTACATGATTTTTAAAGCCAAAAATAGGAGAATAGTGGATTTCAAATATTTTTTAAACTCTAAGCGATCTTGTGTATCTCAGTGAAATGAAATGTAACTTTAATTGAGTCAGGCGTTACTTTGCGGAAATCTATTGTATTAAAGTTGCTAAAAAAATAATTTGCATATATCCGCGTAATTAAAAAAAATAATGTGTCTTACCTAGTTTGAAGAGCACCTTCCGCCCTCACTCAATTGCGTGCACTATCCACGTCACCACTAATCCCAGCACCACTACTCCTAACATCAATCTAGTGCAGTCAAGTTGAAGGTATATCATTTGTGCATGCCTCAGTCGATTGTTGAACTGAGTTGAGAAGTCGAGTAAATCACTCTTAAATACTATGATTTAAAATGCAGATATAGCATTTCTTAAAGTCCATTCTAATTTGAAGTTTGTTTTCACACGCATTTACTTAACTTTATTGACCTATAAATAGATGTATAATTGATAATAGTATTTATTTGAAGTAATTAATATACTGTAAGCTCCTTCTGCGTAGATTGGACACAAAACTAAAAACTATATTTAAAAGAGCTTATATTCTAAAAGCTATATATTTGCCTTATTGAGCACAACACAAAATGATTTTTAGTCTACACTACGTAGATACAAGTGATAAAATACTTGGATTTACAGACCACTTAGCAAGTTAATTTGAAGAACTTTATTTAAGCGTAAGTGAACAGGTCACCAAGTTTATATTGAAACGTTCACTTAACCCAAAATGAAATCAGAACATGATCTTAAAACAAGTAGAACAAAAATATTGCGAATTTAATGAAGGCAGCTTATTAAAGTATTTAATAAAATGTAAAATTTTAGTATTGTGTTCGAATATCAGCCGAAGCCAACGTTTGTGCTAAAACACAGACGCTTTTTGGCCAAATGAAAAAGCAATGGAAACAAAAGAAAAGACTTAAGTTATTAAAGTTACAGCCTATACACTTCGCAATGCTGGGCACAGGCTTCTTCTCATTTCTGAATGGTTTGTCATCACGTTGCTTCACGTTGCTCCACGCTGCTCCAGTGCGTGTTTTTGGATCAGTACTTGAACTAAATACTATTTTATAACAAAAATCAATCAAATCTTATGTAAATTGGTCATATATCAAGTAAACGTCTAAAATATCCCGCACAGAGAAAATTTCCGACAGCGTTCAAGAATTGTCGCCGTCGTCAATACCGGGTCGAAATTAAAAAATAAAAAGAATAAAAACTTAATTTATCCAAATAAGAACAAAAACTTTTAGTTCTAGTACATTGCATTTTGGATTTGAATATAGCATATAGGACTCGGCTGTCAAGTAAAATGATTATAAAGCAAGTGTAGGATATTTTACGTTACACAAATTTTATGTTACACCTGCAGCACTTGGGAAAAAAATATTACATACAATCTAACGTGTAAATGAAATAGTTTTTTTTAAACTCATAAAAGAAAATGCTTGACATTATTTGCTAACACGATTGGCAGAAGTTTTGGCGGTCACAAACTAAGGACAAGATTTTTGATATTTCGTTAATATTTGCATTACCTATAAATAAATTTACTTAAATGTTCTTGCCAAAAAAATAATATTTTCACGGTTTTACCGTTTTCGGTTTTATGAAAGTTATATATCTGGGTTAGTGTGTATAATATCCGCATACTTGAATCCTCTTACATTTAATTAAATTTCGTTAAACCTTTTCTTTATCTTCGATTTACAAGCCTGAGCGGAACCGTAACGAAGTCCAGAGACGAACACAACTCGAGTTCGATTTGTGCCGACACCAATAAATGGCTAATTGAAATTTAAGTGCTGGTGTACGTCTTGCATTTTTATAGAAAAATGGTGACAAACGAGCACTCAGACCAACATGTAGGGTTGCGGATTCAGTGGCCCATAGGCATATTATATATCTATTCTAGAAAAAGAATCAAAACGCAGATGCCTTGTCGACTCTGACGACTACTTTCCGGGTCTCTACACTCCTATACGAAACACAGGAGTATTAAACTGCTATTTACGCTGTATTTTGTGAGAGCCGATTCCCGGTCGAACCGACTCATTCGTGCTACAATCATAATAAAGCTGGAGCATGTCTAAACCACGTGGAGACTCTTCTACTATCTGACTTTAATGCAGCTAACAATGTTTTTAAAACACAGAACGAAGAATATAAAATTAAAGACAAGAGCTTTTCTAATTTTATATAAATGTATAGCGTTTGGTAATATAAAATCAACTATCAACATCATTTAGCCCGTAGAAGTCCACTACTGGATAGGGTTCTCCCCATTGTTGGGAATATTTGACTTAATTATAACGTTTGGCAGGCAGATTGATGATCTCAGTACCAGATATCTGGAACCTTGGACGCTGCTCCCCGTGGCCGGTCTGGGTATTTTTTGCCATGTGTAAATATTAAAAACTCAAAATAATAAAATAAGAGATATAATATATAATAATATAGTTAGGTGTTGGTTACCTCATTAGGTTGCCAATAAGCCTGTTAAGTATGGCAACTATAATGAATACCCATGTTCAACAGTGGACTTTTTATAGCTTGTAATTATAACGATGATGATCATATAAAATAAGAACAAGGTTTTTTCAAACGTAACGTTGACTACCTGTTTCAGAAAATAAATATGTAAGGTTTATTAAAGATAATTACAATAATGTTATTATTACTATTATTAATATATGTATTTAGTTCATTATTTCTTAATTTTGAAACTTACAAAACTATGTTTTTAATTTAACTGAATAAATTTAAGCTATCGTAAATAAAAAGTTTGGTTTCATTCACAGGCAGTAGGTTGACGCGCAAGACACCTGCAGCCTACGCCGATGGTGTGTACATGATGGCTGGTGCAGACAGACCGGGAGCTCGGACCCTTTCGAAACTGTTCATGCGCGGCCAAGATGGGTTACCATCATTATCTAACAGAACAGCACTGCTAGCATTCTTCGGTAAGTAAAGTAGTTTTAAAAACAAAGTAACCGAGTTTGTATTATACATGACAAGTGGATATATAGCCTATACGCCACCTTCCAAATTTTCTTTACATTATACATTGACATTATTTTCTATTAAATATTTACAAATAGAAAAAAATAATAATATACCTTCGCGTCGTAGTGTCAAGAAATTTGTCCACTTATTTTGCTGTATCCTTTTCGTCCCAATTTAAGCTTTTTTGCAAATATCCATGACTGCAGTAACCTTTTAACTAAGTATAAGCTCGCTTATCTAATGATATATAATATTGTTACGAGCTTGAGGTTCGTGACAATAAAAATTGCCGATAAAATTACCTAAATTAACACTTTAATTTACTTTACACAAATTAAAGTTAAAACACTAATAATTAAACACACTAATTCACTTAATTCCGCCCGAAACTTCGCTTGTTTCGCCCAAATCAACACTGCCTCCATCGCATCTTGCAGCGCCTATATATTTGAATTAGCAAAGAAATATCCAGAATGTTCAAGTAAACACGCGCAAGGTACCGAGCGTTCGAGTTTCAACTAGGCGCTGTCAGTTGAGCGATTTGTGATGTCATTTTCTCAATGCTCCCCTCGCTCTCGTTCCTGACACTAGATGGCGCTAGTGTATCGTTGACTGGAGCGCGTAACACTGCCCCCTCCTAAGACATGCTCGTCCCGAGCATTATCGGCCCCATAATAACGCGCCAAGCGATTCACATGGACGATCTTAGGAGTCCCTCCTGCGCCTTTCTGTAACGGCTCCGCAATGTCAAGGGCTGTCCTATCCCGTTGTGCACCAACATTGTACAATTTCGGTGCTCCTCTACTACGTGTCCGAGGTCCCCGCTCGGCCGCACAACTTGTACATGTACGACACCAATCCTCGACATCGTCACGATAATGGACCCAGTAAAACTGTTCTCGGACCTTCAGTAGAGTTCGTTTAACTCCCAGATGGACTCTTGAACGACCATTATGGCACAACTGTAGAACGTTCGGCACTTTAGCTTTAGGGACAACCATTTGCAAACGACAGCTGTCTCTTCGACCATTGTCCCATTTACGGCACAGGACACCATCCTGAATCAGCAAGCTGTCCCATTGGGCCCAATAGCTTTTTGTGGTTGAACTCATCGCTGAGACGTCCCTCCACTTAGGCTTGATAGCACGGGCCTTCATCCATCCCAGAATCGGCTTGATGTCCGGATCTTCCTGCTGTGCATGTCGTAGGTTGTCCTTCCACCCGTTGCTGAGGTGGTCTGTCCTGAGCATCCTCACGGATACCACCTCCTTACTCTCTTGCCTACTACAATGGTTGCAATCTTCAGGACAAGGTCTTCTTGACAATGCATCTGCGTTGCCGTGAGATTTCCCGCTGCAGTGTCTAATAGTAAAGTCGTATTCCTGCTGCTGCTGGGCGGTGCTGTTAGCCGCACTTCCTTTCTGAGACCGTTCACCTTCCCTTCGTAGGGTGTGCTCAGGGTAGCTGGACCGAAGATGGCCCCTTTCCCCACAGCCATAGCACCTAGGGCTGTATCTTTTATTGTGGTCGCGAACCGTAACTGCTGTAACCTCCCTAGCGTGAGGTGAACGATGATCCTGTCGCCGCCAGGCAGTGTCGTTAGCTGCACTACCCTCTCGAGATCGATCAACTCTCCTTTCCACGGTTCGCTTAGGGCAGCTGATTCGAAGATGGCCTTTTTCCCCACAGCCATAGCACCTAGGGCTGTATCCTTTGTTGCGGTCGCGAACTGTAGCTGCCGCAACCTCCCTGACGCGATGGGAACGATGATCCTGCCGCACGGCTTCCACTTCCAGTGCATGGGCCAAGGCGTTCTTAAGCGTTTCGTGGTGCCCGAGCCTCACAGCAGCTCTGACTTCCAGGTCGCGGATGCCGTCGATGAATGTCTGCACCAGGTTCCCTTCAATGAGCGCAGGTACAGACCGGTATGCTTTTCGCACCAGCTTCTCCACTTCTAGAGCCCACTGCTGCAGGTTTTCGTTGATGCGCTGCACACGATCTTTAAGCTGCGCACGAAAGACGTGTTCCAGGTGAGCGTCGCCATATCTCGCCTCCAATGCCTCAAGGAGTTGCTCATAAGTCACTTCCTCACCGAGAGCTTCCAGAACTGTTAAGGCCTGGTCGCGCAGGCCTAGTGTGAGAGCAGTCATGGCCTGACTTTTATTCCAGCCGTTCGCCTTCATAACAGCCTCGAACTGGATTTTGTAGGCTGACCAGGAAGAAGTCCCGTCGAATGGTGGCACCTTGAACCCACGTAGCGAAGGTGTAATAGCTACTACGGGAGCTGTAGTTCCATCCCCCAGTTTGAGGTCGTCCAGCGTTTTCTTCACGTCAGCCATCACGTAATCAACCCGATTGTTTACTTGGTCGATTTGGGTTTTAGCTTCCTTGATTTGGGTTTCAGCTTCCGACAGGCGGTTGTCATGTTGAGCAACCCTATCCTTCACCTCCCTAATCTCTTTCCCGAAGTTAGCGTGAATGTCCTTCACGAGGAGCATCTGCTCCTCCTGTCGGCGAGCCTGTTCCTCCTGTCGGCGAGCCTGTTCCTCCTGTCGGCGAGCCTGTTCCTGCAGCATCACCATCAGAGCACCTAAATCGGGTGCTGCAGATGGAGGAGCTACTGACGGGCCTGCAGCCAGCGGCTGGCCCTCCGACGTCAGCGGCGTTGCACCACCAAATCTTCTTTGGTCCGTCTCCTGCTGGCGTTGATTTCGGGTACGGACACCCTCCGTTTCCTCCTTAGGTAAAATCGGCATGATTTTATCCCACTTCTGACACCAATTGTTACGAGCTTGAGGTTCGTGACAATAAAAATTGCCGATAAAATTACCTAAATTAACACTTTAATTTACTTTACACAAATTAAAGTTAAAACACTAATAATTAAACACACTAATTCACTTAATTCCGCCCGAAACTTCGCTTGTTTCGCCCAAATCAACACTGCCTCCATCGCATCTTGCAGCGCCTATATATTTGAATTAGCAAAGAAATATCCAGAATGTTCAAGTAAACACGCGGAAGGTACCGAGCGTTCGAGTTTCGACTAGGCGCTGTCAGTTGAGCGATTTGTGATGTCATTTTCTCAATGCTCCCCTCGCTCTCGTTCCTGACACTAGATGGCGCTAGTGTATCGTTGACTGGAGCGCGTAACAATATATTATGTGTAATGTGCTATAACACTATTATGTTGTAAGAATAGTTATTTATAACTCTATATCTACAGGTCAAGTAGTAACGGGTGAGGTGGTAATGGCATCGGAGTCCGGTTGCCCCATCGAGCATCATCGTATACCAGTAGATAAATGCGATCATATGTACGATCCTGATTGTGAAGGCGCTAAGCACATGCCCTTTCTGAGAGCAGCATATGATCGTGAAACAGGACAAAGTCCAAACAGTCCTCGAGAACAAGTAAGCTGAAATTTTCTCTATTTGTGTGACATCTTTTTTTTAAATCAAATGAAGGACATAGGTCGATCGAAGATTTTACTGATAACAACCAATTGATTTCGATGGGTTCTGTACGATATATTGGATCAAAAGAACTTGGTAGTAACTATAAAGAAGATGTTTGATGGCATTATTCATTAGAGCTTCTTGATATTTGGCACAAAAAGAATTGTCGAGAATTGTCCGTATAAATTTTTTGAAGTCCCAAAAATTTTGATCGTGTTGGAATTCGAACCAAGGTCGCGCAATTACACTGCGCTAATGAGTAATACGATTAGAATTTCGCTCTATGTAATAAGATTAAAATTGTGTTTTAATTGCTGCAAGTTTCAAAGATACATATGTAGATGTCACATTTTTAAGAGCAATAATCGTATCAACGTTAATACAAATACCACAAACGCTACAAAGTCGTAAAGTCAATCGTACACTATCGGAGATCTATTGTAGTTTTGTAAAACTTTAGTGTATAAAAAATTGCTACAATTTTGAGGTACGTCTAGTACTCTAACTGCTCGGATTTATCATTTTATTGTCATCAATATTATGTTTGCAACATAGGTGTGAAATGGATATCAGATATGATAATCGTAAAATCGTCTATCTACGAGTATATAAAACACAAAAAATGTCTCTACCTATGTCCAATCCAACAGATTTTGATAATTTTTTTGTGCATATTTGAATGGATTATATAGTTTATATTCACATTTGTACCCGGTAGAAGGCGCTGTTGTCGAGATCCGGAAATCACCTAAGCGAAACTGGGGCGGATTACTAGTAATAATATTTAAATTTATTGTTTCTCACATAACTTATAGAAACATAAATAACATTGAAATTCTGTAGCTCATGATAGTTATAAACTTCGTTACAGGCTACAGCATCTTTCCCATTATCAGTGACACATGATTATTTTAAATTTTTTAATTTTGAAATTTAAAGGGAAATATTTAACAGAATACCTACAGGATGAAACGGGGTGATGTTTCTCTTATACCGTTACCGAATGGCGTTCCTATTCAACTAATATAATGGTGTAACAGGTGATATCTACCCTACTTATAAATAGAAGTGGAGTACTGTCATCGATATAACTTGTAGCAATAAAAAAATGCAGTTATAGATATATGTAGATGTAGGATTACGTACTTAATATGTTTGTGCAACGTTCTAAATTATTTTGATGGGTAACACTCTAGAATTTAACTTACTTTGTCCTAGATTTTATACCATATATCTTACACGTTACTGAGTGGTCTAATAATTATTTACCAATTAAAGATAATGAATGTAAACTTTAACATCAAAGGTAACTTGATTACTGTCTCTGTTTGCCAACGAATAAAATGTGGGCAATAAAAAGGATTATATTTAACCCAGATTGGAACTTAGTTTTTGCAAGCTACGTAAAATAATGAATCATTAATCCCTTTATTTTATTCTTTCATTACAGCCTAACAAAAGTTCCCGCTGAACATAGGCCTACCCAAAAGATTGCCACAAAGGGCGGATTCGTCATAGTTGCCGCGCTTCCGAGGCGTGGTTTCAACTGCAGTGTTTTTTATTATTTTCAGTCATTATAACAAGAAGATCCTGCTGCCCATTTCCTGTTTCAATTTCTCTTTGTCACCTCTGTACTCTCGTCTATATGTATGGTCTGCTTCTATGTATTGCCGTGTAGTGGATACTCTTACACCGTTTCTACACGGTCTTTTTCACGGGTTTTTTTAATCATGAATGAATGAATCAATTCTGAATCAGGTTTTATAGTGCTCGTTAATTCAGTTATCCTTCGTTTAATATTATCTGGGAAATGGATATAATATCAAAAGCACTTTCGTAAACGCATTTAAAATCCCACTGTTTGAAGTTGCTTTGGCACATCCATGGTCACGGAGGGAGCTGTGGCTTTCAAATTAACAAATGTTATTAAGTCTGGCTAACAATAACTATTATCACTAAGTATCAAAAAGCTTAAATTGCAAAAATTGCCTAACGGGGGTAACTTAACTGCTAAAGAGTACTTTAACTACTAAAAAGTACATTGATTGATAACAACCCTTTGAATGATATCTCATTATAAAGGGTTTTTACCCCTTGGAATGAAGCGATCGCTGCCATGTTGTTTCTAAACTTATTTAATTGTACAACATATAAAAAAGTCCCACTGGGTTTGTCGCTTGTTCTTCCCACGAGAGGTTTTTTCCAAACCGGTGGTAAAAGTATAAATAACTTTCAGTAACTATTCTTGTAATTTATGCTGAGTAAAATTTATTTCAATTAATAATTTTTATCTAATCTGCGTTACCTGTGAACATATTCCAAATAATCCTTGTTTTTATATTTCTATCATTGAAAGGGATTTGATAAACAACAAATTTTGCAAAAGAAAGTTTTTGCCTACCTAGAATGACTCTCGAAGATATTAATTAAATGACATTTACAAACTTTTAAAAAGAGAACGAATGGTACTTCTGTCTGTTTGAGATAAAGATCAAGAAAAATCGGTAAAAGGAATTGCGTTCATGAGTAGTATTTGTTTAAATATAAAAAAATAGATTCAAATTTATGCGATACCAAAATGCAATCCTATTTGCATTCATTTCATACAAAGTGAAAATAAAAATAAAATCATTTCAAAATCTCATCAGCTTTTTAAATTGACTGCTGTGCACAGGCTGTTAAAATATGCCAGTTGGCGAGCATTACCTCCAAGATTTGCCCATACTCATCGCGTTGCGTAAACAGGTTGTTATCCACAGAACGGATTTCCTCACACTGCTGGTAACGTTTCCCATTCCCACGAACTACAAAGTTTTTGGATGACTGTGATTATGTGCCAATTATTATTTTTGTACGAACAGGGGCGGGGTTAACAGCTATGTGACGTCACATGTTAAAATTTAATAATTGGAAAAATTTCTGTTTTAACTTAATTACTTTTGAAATATAGAATTGAAAAATATGTGACGTCACACCAGGGGGGAGGGGATTTCTAAAGTGATCACCTGAGACACGGGGACGGGGGTGGGAATCAAAAAGCCATAAAATTTGTGTGACGTAATTTATAAATGTAATTTTTTAAAGTACATAATATCGCAAAACCCGATTTTATTCCCTCGCTTTGAATAAAATTACTTTAGAGTTTTCATCGCGTTTAGTTTATTATTTGGCTATTCCTGACATTTCATATGCTTTGCAGCATACATTGTCATGTTAGTACTTTGGGAGGAACGTATGGGATTGAAAACAAGTAAAATTAAAGATGATAAAATACGTGAAAATTAGTTTTATGTATGTAATAAATATTACGTAAACTCTTCTTGAAAAACATTTATAAAATTATATTATATTTAATTAATAAATAAATTAATTATTTAATTAATAATAATTATTTCATTAATTTTTATTATATTTTTTATTTTTTTAAATGTAACTAAAAAAATATACTAAACAAATTTTTGTATAGTATGTTAATTTCTAAATGATAGGACTCTTTACTCTGTGCACGTCTGGGTATGTATTGTACAGCCCTCTTACCTATTTCTGGCGTTAAATAGATGTGTTTGCTCTGCTCTGTTCTGAATTGTTTAAAGAACCAGTGTAATAATTACAGGCTGTGAGGCATTTCATATAGGTCCTCAGGGGTGATAACGCATCTGTAGCTATTCGGTCTTCTATGAACTGCGGTAGCCATTTATCATCAAGTGGACTGTAACTACTCGTATCACTTCAGTTGTGTATAAAAATAGTTTGCTTATCGTAATCAATAATATTTCCGTTACTTACTTGTAAATATTGTTGCAGATTAACCAGATAACATCGTGGATCGACGGGAGCTTCGTTTACAGCACCAGCGAGGCATGGGTGAATGCAATGAGGTCATTTCAGGTGCCACCCTGCAGCCACGCCTGCCTCTTTATGTACATTTCTATGCGCATACGTAACTTATTATCACTAAGCGTGATATTTCAAACAACCATTCAGATATTATAATTATTGTGTACTGAAAGTGTACTGAAATCTGTTTTTCTTCCAGTAAAAGCATTGTTATTAATGCCATATTAAGTCATTAAACAAGCCTGTTAAAATGAATTTGTATTTAAGTACTAAGTTTCTAATTGTTATCACAATATATATCAACACTTCAACTTTAACTTTGCACCGCATAAAATATTTAATTCAAGACTCTATTAGAAAAAACTTTATACGTCAAAAGAAATACATACACTGAGGAGCAATAGTATTAATTATATGTACCTATTATATATTAACATTTTTTTAGATTTATCTCTAACTTTTAACACTTACAGAACGGAAGTTTAGCGAGCGAAGGTGGAATGCCCCTACGAAATACAAAGCGAGTTCCACTCTTCAATAATCCTGTACCACATTATATGCGAATGCTGAGTCCCGAGCGGCTATTTCGTAAGTTAAAGATTTTTTTCTTCCAAGGTACAAGACGTCTGGTACTGCTATCGGCAATTCGTCTACTAAGCATGACGTTTAATGCAAATCCTCCCTACAACGGAAGAGACCCGTGTCCAGTAGTAGACTTCTACACGCTGATGATGAAGAAGTAGTAAGTAACATATTGTATATAATCTACAGCCTGCCAGTCCAGCCAGGACTGCCTCGTTGGTCTAGTGCTTGTAAACGCGACTGCTGATCATGATCATGATGGTCCTAGGTTTGAGTCCCGGGTCGTGCCAAGAAATAAATTATTGATTTTTCCATCAAAAAATTCTCAGTAACTGCCCGGAGTCAGGAAGTTGGCGGTGTCTCACCCCCGTGCCTCGGAAAAAGCACTTGAAATCGTTGGTCCTGCGCCTCATCTCTCTCTGGTCGTGTCTCTTTACCGTCCCATCGGATAATGAGAGTGAGGGAATAGAGAGTGCACCTGTGCTTGCGCATACACTTGGGCACTATAATCCTGTCCTGCACCGATGACTAGTCTCCGTTGAGGCTCGCCGCCATGACCGAAATTCGGTCTGGAGGACATTATTATAATCTACAGTCTAAGAATAGGTTCAGGATTGCTCCCATCATTACATCATATTTGAAAGGTAAGATATCTAATCAAAAGAAAACCCATTTATAGGAATTTCGACAAAGAAGATAGGTGCCATTAGGTGCTGAGGATCCTAATCTCATTACATTCCACCCCATGACCGTGAGTTTTGCAAAGTACTTGATCGTCGGGTATATAAAAATTATTAAGTGAAACATGATAAAACTGTAAAATTAGATGTTTTACAGTGTTGTTGTTTTAGGAGTATATAAGAAACTATTATAAATGCAGTCTAAAGGAAACATGAACATTTACAAAACATCGAATTAGTGAACCATTTATAAGTGATAAATAAGAGAACGAGATAGTATAATATCATAATATTCCAATAAAGTAATAAATAATAATAAAAAAAATTTTATATAATTAGAAATGACTGACAGTATCATCATCTATTGAATAACATTTAATAATTCCGGATAAGCGATCTAAATTTACGTATAAAAAAGAAATAGTGTAATTTACTTTTTATGTAATGTTCATTGAGTTCTCAATTCACTAGAACCATTCAATCAGAATGCCGTTTCACATAAATTTAACGATAAATTCAAATATTAACATACTTAATTGATTCCTGATTTAGAACTTCCGAGAACCAAAAATTGTAGCCGTTAATTTGATAAAGCGTATTATATCCAACAAAACATTCATTTTGTAATAATTCAAAGTTGTAGAATATAGTATATTATTATATAATGTATTACTGACGTATATTGCATCATTACGTTTAAATACATAACAATTGTTTTTAAAATGCGAGTCCATCGGCGAAAATAATTTAAGAAAAAACAAATTCTTTTTATGAAATTTGTGGTTTTCTTTTTTATAAACTGGAAGTGAACAACATACTTAGAGTTCGCTTGATAATAAGTGATTACTGCAGCCCGACTTCAAATTGAGAACGCTACAGATGCGTAGTCTACTGTGAGGACTATGAGGGAATGCCACACAGGCTGTGATTGTTCGGCCTCTCTAAACCCTCATAAATAACAAAGTACTTATATAACTTATTATCAAAATTAAACCTTTGTAAATGGCATTATATATATATATATATATTCATTTACGTTATTATATGTAGCCGTGCAGTGGCGGCTTAAGAAAGTCCAAAATCACATATTCGTGCCATAACAAGCGACAGATGGAAATTAAAACAGGAGATGAGGAGCAGCATTTTCCCCATAATACCTGGAAATAATAACAACTGCGGTAGCCAACCAGCCTGCCAATGGTGGTGGCTATATCAAAATCTCTCCTATACAATCTTTGATCTCATGTTCTGATGGAGGAGGAGATGGAGGCTTATGTTCCACAGAGGACTTTTAATAGGCTCTGTTGTATGATTTGTGATTTTCCTAATATTTACGTGAAGATTCCGAGATCACTCGGCCACTCAAAACGTTAAGAGAATTTTAAGTAGTAAACGAAAACATCGTGAGAAAACCTACATTGTTAAGAAACAAAATATGTTGCGAGGATATATGAAGAATGACAATACTGGAGAAGCGTTTAGGACCTTTCTGCTCTTTTACTCTAAAAACTAGTAATACCGGCATAAGTTGTTCTGCTAGATAACATACTTATCCGGTGTTCCGAGTCGAGTCGAGTCGAAGTAACCGAATTAACTTTTTACAGTGTAAATATAAAATTTATTAATAACTCGTCCTATCAGACTTAGAATTTGTAATTTTCTTTTTTGACATCAACTTATATCGTAAATATAAGTTATTTTGGTCATAAATATAGGATTTGTTAATAACTTAACATCAACGCCATCTATTAGTTTCTTGCAAAGCTATGAACAAATGTCTCGACAAAAAAAAATTTTTGTCAATATGACTCCAATCGGTCAAGTCGTTCAGAACTTTAATCATCACTAACAGACGCCAAAAACGAATATAAAATTAAAAAATACGAAAAGGGAACCTGTACACAGTAGTGATTCGTATAGAAACTGTTCCTTTAATTTTGTTTATTTTTCGATCAATAGTCCTTGGAGATCCACGAACCAATCAAAACCCCGCTTTGGTGACATTTGGCATCCTGTTGATGCGTTGGCATAACGTGGTAGCGGCACGCGTCCATCGACAGCATCCCGACTGGGATGACGAGCAATTGTTCCAAAGAGCGAGGCGACTTGTCATCGCTAGCTTACAGGTATGTCATATAGTTCCAATATGTTATACAGAATAAATTACTTATCTACCTATTGTCAGCGACTAGTCTAGCGATGCGGTTGGGGCAGTTAACCACTTCGGTGACTGGCCGCTTTTTAAAAGAAAGAAAATAAGAACTATTTATTTTATGGACACATTTCAAGAAATATACAAACGCAAGTCTAAGGGTGTTACCACAACAATCGATCGATCGTCGATTGATGGCATCGATCGATGGTGAAATGGATTAGTCGACATCGATCGATAATTTCCACCACACCGACTGAGGATGGCTTCGATCGATGGTAGAATGGATTAATCGACGTCGTTCGAGCTGCTTGATTATTCGAGAATCCGCCCCGCTCCACCGACCGCATTTTGAAAAATACTGATGATGAGTCCACAACCACACAGATTAATTGTCGATCGATGATTGAACAACGTTTTATCGACCAGTATCCGTATATCAGCTAAAGCTCGACATTCATCGACGTCGATCAATTCGATAGATTGTTTATCGATGCCAAATAAAGTGTGACATCAAATAGGTCTCCAACTCAGCATTATGTTGCAAGCGCAGGGCTAGTTTTCAGGTGGAGCCTTCAAGTACTTTACTAACAAGTTGATGTGTGATCCTCTAATCACGGGTTACTACGAGTTACAGAATTATGTGTATGTTAATTTGAAATTACAAGCAAGAAAATATTGCTCACGTATATAGATAACTTAACGTACATAGATAATTTTTAAGCAATTTCAAGCGATTTTACAAACTAATATTTATAACAGGATATATAACAGGAGTGCAGCACCTAGAGCATACTAGGAATTGTTTCTAAAACATACTTACCAGAAGTAAAACAGCCTTTACATTTTGAATGAACCGCTTAATTTTTAACCGCGTCACTTCACTGGTCGCTGCCACGAACCGCTAACGGACAAGTTAGTTTATAATTTTAAAGTATATTTGGCCGTCAACCTTTTAAAACAAAGGGGAGCACTAAATATTTTATACATAGGTATATTGTCTTGTTGGAGGCTTCAAAATACTTTATTGAGGACTAAAAAATCTTAACAGAACATCATCCTCTACGAATATGTACCGGCTTTTCTCGGCGTTGCCCTACCATCATACGAGGGTTATCGAGCAGAAGTAGCTCCGGGAGTAACACACGAGTTTGCTGTGGCCGCATTTCGCTTCGGTCACACGTTAGTCCCGCCCGCGATACTGCTGAGAGATCGAAACTGTAGATTTGGAAGAGCACCGGGTGGACATGATGCTATCAGACTGTGCCAAACTTGGTGGGATGGAAACGTAAGTACTTTATAAGAACAGCAATTATTTCATTTTCAAAAGAAAGGTAATCATATTAATCCTTTATACGCGATAGAGCCACGCAGCAGCTATAGTATGGTTTTAGCACGAATGAGTCAGTTGGACCGGGGAGGGACCATGCTCTCACAAAATACCAGCGTACTGCAACAATACATCAACTTAATGCTGCTGTGTTTCGTATGGTGTGTGTAGGCATTCCATATTAGTCCTCAGGGGTGACAACAAATCTGCATTTTCATTCTTAATCGAGGTTAAATGTAGATGTTTATGGGCTATAGCATCCACTTACCATCAGCTGGACTGTGTGCTCGTTTAAACATTTATTCTAGAAAAAAAAATTTATTATAGTATATATACATATATATATATATATATATATATATATATATATATAAGTAAAAAGTAAAGTTACAGGGGTTTTAGGGCAAGGAAGTGTACGCCGCGCTGCCCCAATGCGTGTTGGCGAACTTCACATGTCTTCGAAATATTTTTTTTTCGTATTCTTCGGACACGCAGGTTTCCTCGCGATGTTTTCCTTCACCGTCGAGCACGTGGTAAAGCAGCATCTTAAATTGCAATTAACAATTTATTGGTACCGGCGGGGATCGAACCCGGGTTACTCGCATTCTGTAATATTTACAGCGAGCGTTACACATCTGAGCTACCACGGCTATATATATGTATATATATATATATATATGTATATATATATATGTATATATATGTATATATATATATATATGTGTGTGTGTGTGTGTGTTTGTGTCGTGTGTGTATGTATATATAAATATGGACTAGCGATCCGCCCAGGCTTCGCACTGGTGTAGTTCAGTAGCTCAGACACGTACACGTAGATAGAAGAATTGTACATATAAAGATGTTTAAAAGTACTAATTTCTGGATATTACTACATATTGAAATCCATAGACTTAGATTCTACTATTTTAATACTGAATATGTAATGATAAATATATATGAAAGAGCGTAGTCATAATCGTAACTAAAACGTTTTTTCCCAACTGCAATTACTAAAGTAGTTCAACAGATTTACCGCTAAAACAAAGTCTGAAAGAGTTATTATGTTACAACCTACTTAGATAACAAATAATCGTTTTAGGATGTAATGTCACAAGTGCCTATAGAAGAAGTGCTAATGGGTATGGCTTCTCAGTTATCGGAGCGTGAAGACGCTTTATTATGTTCTGATGTAAGAGACAATCTTTTTGGTCCTATGGAGTTCTCTCGACGTGACCTCGGGGCCTTAAACATTATGAGAGGACGAGATAATGGCGTACCCGACTTCAATACTGCAAGGTAATTGATGTTTTTGTAATGTCTAATGGTTGTATATGCATGATTAATATATCAGTATTTTTCGCTCGGTATTTTTCGCTCGATTTTTTTTTAATTCGTGTGTTTTGGAAATTATATTTAGATACCAATTACATACTGATGAAATATAAATAATATTTTTTGATCTTAGCGACATAACAGAAAAAACGGAACCGGTTATTTGAATAAAAAAATCATGAGTGCAATTATTTTAATTTAAATTTTCGTGTTTTTAAAAAATACTAAAATAAAACCCGGCCAAGAGCGTGTCGGGCCACGCTCAGTGTAGGGTTCCGTAGTTTCCCGTCCGTCACAATATGAGTTCCCACTTACGAGTTTAAAGGTGGGGATCCATTATGTTCGCGCTCCAACAGCGCTCCGCGCTCCTGCAACTGCTCCCGGTAGTGGGTACTGTTGTTTCCATCCAAGTTCAAAATGATTTTCCTAGAAAGTCCTTATAAAGTTCTACTTTTCAGATTTTTTTTCATATTTTCTAAACTTATGGTTCAAAAGTTAGAGGGGGGGGGGGTGACACATTGTTTTTTTTTATTTTTTGAGCGATTATTTCCGAAATTATTGACATTATCAAAAAATGATTTTAGTAAACCCCTATTCATTTTTAAATACCTTTCCAACAATATATCACACGTTAGGGTTGAAATTAAAAAAAAATCACTTCCCACTTTACATATAGGGGGGCTACCCTAATAAAACATTTTTTTCCAATTTTTATTTCAGCACTTTGTTGGCGTGATTGATACACATATTGGTACCAAATTTCAGCTTTCTAGTGCTAACGGTCACAGAGATTAAGCGAGGACGAACAGACGGACAGACAGACATGGCGAAACTATAAGGGTTCCTAATTGACTACGGAACCCTAAAAAGGGCTCGAAAAATTAGATTTTCTCAAAAAAGAAAAAAATTAAAAAAGTCGGTCGGTCGGTCTGGGCTCGAACCGGGGTTTTACGATTCTGTGACCGTCCATTATACCAATTAAGCTATTTATAATCTATCAAAATTTACCTTCTTTTCTAACGATATTGTAGCAGTTTTTCATTGCCTAAAAACACGGACAAAAATTCATTTTCTAAAAATAAATCCTAGCTAGATCGATTTATTATCCCCGAAACTCCCGGGACACTAAATTTTATGAAAATCGTTGGAGCCGTTTCCGAGATCCCGATTATATATATATATATATATATATATATATATATATATATATATATATATATATATATCTACAAGAATTGCTCGTTTAATAAAATATATTTGCATGATTAATATATTATGAGAAAAATGACGCGACGGACGACTTCTGCAATTACTAGTATTGATTAATTTTCGAAAGTGTGCGCAGTAATCGTTTGACTCTCTCTCCATTCCATCATCGGAACACCAGACGCTCAGCTGATCTCCATCCCTTTGTTGTCGACATACCAAGCCTTTGAAACAACATCTGTCTTTCCACCCGTTTTTATAGTCTTCAAGGCAAGAGTAAATTGGCTTTTGTTAAGCTAAGTGTGCTCTTTACCATCTTCCGCAGCATTACCACTTGCAATCAGGCGGACTTTAAGTCAAAATTATAATAAAAAAATGTACAGATAAGTTAACCTTCACTGTATCAAGTTTGTATTCTGCCCGTACAAATAGCTTGTGTAATTTATGAAAAGAACTGCATCGAGTTTGCATCCTACCCAAAAAAGTTACCACTTTTAGACCTTTCGTACTCCCGTTTCCTAGAGGTTTTTAAGAAAGGGTCCATCGAGCTGCCCCACTTTGTCTTGGTGAACTACACCCTGTTATCAAAAAAAAAAAAAAGTTTAACGAGTTACGATATGGCGGCGATCGAAAGACTTTTTAAAAAATATAATTAATTTAATTTCACAAAAGTAACAAAAATAATTAATTCAAAGTTCAAACAAATTGTACATTTATAAAAAAGAAGTTAAGTTATGCGTGGATGGTGTCAGACTGCGAGACAGTTGCATTGTTTCCACGATGATACTTTTCGCAGCGCAAGCGTTCCACATATGTTCATTGTTATGTTCAACTGCTATATCAGCCCGATTCCAGGGTTACGACACGTTAACTCTTCCCTCCTTAAGTTGGAAGCTGGTTTTACGGCTTCCAGGAGCGTCCTCGCGACTTGCTTTGCTTGGACGCTTGTTCCAATTGTATATCTTCCAGATTGCAAAAGATGCTGCTAGTATGTAGAGGAGCACTGTAGACCAGCTGGGAATTGCCATCATATATGACCAGTTCCAGGTTTCTATTTCTTGAATATCTTCAACTTTGTTCATAAGTTCATGGACACTATCTAGTGAGATGTCTTCCAGATGTATCTCGTACTGGACTTCTTCCTGGTGTATTAGGTTCTCGTTGGGTAGAGGGATGACTTCGTCCATAGAGATGCTGCTAGTGTGTGTTCTTATCGTTGTATTCATGACGTTAACTTGACAGTCCTGTGTTAGGTTGATGAAGAATGTTCCTGATAGTTTTCTATACTCTGTTTTCTGTCCGCATTGGGTTTTTATAATTTCTGGTTCCGTTGATACTACCAACCACTTATTTTCTTTAATCTTCTGCAATTTTCCTCGCTTCAGATTCATACGTGCCCGAGTGCAGTTACCATCTTTATGCTTGATGAGTGAGATGATGCAATCTTCAGATTTCTCTATGGCTCTAGTATCCAGTGATTTGCAGAGCCAGGTGTCTTCTGACAGCTTCTTGCAATCTTCTTCCAGGTAGGCGTACTCATCGCTTCCAAGTGCGAGGAATTTGGATTTGGGTATAATGGTTAGGTTTAGGTTGTTTGGCAAGGAATATATATGTATATAATCATATAATGTAGGTTGGATGGATGGGATTTCTAATATAAATGTTAAAGAATGTTCTGTGCTATAGACTTTCACGCTAATAGACTTTTCTATCTTATGAATATTTTCAATACTAATCTCCTCGACTGGATATAGTGAAAAGTTATTCTGCAAATTACTAAGTTCCGAAATTAAATTACGTGTGCTTATAATACTAGGGTGCATTATACCTAATTGCGCGAATGCCATAGCATCTTCGAGCAGCATTAACTTATCTAAAATAATCTGTAAACTAAAACTTATTTGAACGTATATCTCTAAAAAGTGCAGCTGGTTTCTTACTGTATCGGAATTAATTGTAATGTTTTTCAGTATAGATGTTAATCTTTTTTGGTTATCATCTATCTTGCCTAGTTGTTTCGAAAATTCCTTTATGGTATTTTCAGCCAAAGATAGCGTTCGCTTCTGCGAGCTTTGGGTTTTGTGGACCGAATTACGAATTTTGTTGATTTCGTTTTCAAATCGAATAGCGTCTTCGTTATCTAAATTACCAGTTATTAATTTCACTACGGAACCTAGTCCATTTATAATACCGCGTCTAAATCTAATTCTAGGTGCAATAAAAATTAATTTCTTACTAATTAAATCTAACTTATGTTCTATCTGGTCCCTATATGTTTTGTGTAATTCTTCTGATGTGGTGTTAATTTCAATTGCTTTAGCACTTGCGTATAATGCCATTAATTTTATCGATACTAGATTCAAGTGGGTAACATTATACACACAAGCAAGGTTGAAGGAATCAGTCTGTTTCAGAATATGACCTTGTCTAAGTAATAGAACTCCGTTCGTATTGTCTACGGGTTGAAATGTTATGTCGGATCTTGCCTGGAACACGAAGGCTCCGAAGATGGTTGTCCTGGAACAAGATGGGGTCTTCGTAGAAGTTTGAAATGTACCCGAATAGACTTAGAATTAGGATGATTTCCTACTATCTCTGCTACATTATTAGGATGTAAGTGAATAATCTTATAGGGTCCTTTAAATACCGGTTTAGTTTTGTCGTTTCTCGCTGTTTTGGCCACCTGCTTATAAACTGTTTCACCTACCTTGAATGATATTTCCTCTGCTGCCTGGTTTCGCTTCGCTATTACCTGTTCCTTGTTTTTGGCCATGTGCGCTGACACACACTCCTGAACAGCTTCTGCATGCATTTTGTGCTTGATAACATAGTCCTGGTAAAACTGCTTAGGATAATGTAACTCTAGTGGATTTCTAGAAGCTGTATGTCCAAATAGTAACTCGTGTGGAGTATATTCTGTTGCTGAGTGGATTGAGTTATTGTAAGCAATGACTGAAAATTTCATGATTAATTGTATGGGGTCCTCTTTGTTTGTCATTCGTTGGATTCTGATAATCTCTCCTATGGTGGAATGAAAACGTTCTATGGGTGAGTTTGAATTTGGATTGTATGGAGTCGTGAAGTGAATGTTAATACCATGTAAAGCGCACATCTCCTTTATAATTTCATTATCGAATTTACTGTCCGAATCCGTTGTAATTTTATGAGGAATTCCTAAAACTGAGAACACCTGAAATAAAGCTTCAGCTATAAGTACACTACTAGTGGCGTTCAACGGTATTGCTTGGGCGAACTTTGAGAAATTGTCTATAATAGTGAGGAACGTGGCACCGCCTGTCGAATACAGATCCATAAACATATGTTGCATAGGTTTTGTAGGTGTTTCCGTTAAGGCTAATGAAGGTCTAAGCGGGTTTCTTTCATATTTAGCTTGTAAGCAGATACTACATTGATTTATGAATGTTTGGATTGTGAGTAGCATGTGAGGCCAGTGGTAGTTTCTATGAATTTGCTTATATGTTTCCTGGATACCACGATGCACGGTTTTGCCTTCATGATATTTCTTAATTATTTCTTGTTGTTCTGTCTTGTTTTCGACAAGGGTAACGCGTGAAGTACATCTAAAAAGCTTAGGGCCTCTGTCATTAAATACATTTGTGTAAACTCTAGAGAATGCTAGGTATAGTTCTTCGTTATAGAAGTAGCAATAGAATACGCGATCAGCAATCGTGTGTTCTTTTAAGAATTGGATAATTTCTTTCTCTGTGTTATTGACCGGAATAAATACATCTTTAATTACTGTTCTAGAATTAGTAGACCTATTTTCTACTCTGTATGTTGATCCTGGAGTTGACCTAATATGGAATTGTTTTAGTTGTCTGTCGATCGCGTCCGATAAGATTGGTATCCCGTTGTTTTCGTTGTCAGGTTGCGTATGGTTTGTCGATACTAAGTGATCAGGATCGAGGGTAACGATACTCATACTATCGGATTCTGTGTCTGTTAGAGGATATTGTACGTTAGGCCTAACTGTCACGTTATTGTCATTGCTATCGCTGTTGTTATCATTACTATCCTCAGGCTGTTGTATTGCATCGGTCTCCGTATCTACCTCTTGTCGTGCGTTGTCGAAAATTCTATTTATGATGTCGTCATCATCATTGTCATCTAGATTGACTGCTAGTGAATCAATGCTCTTATGATAAATTTTAACTCGAGAGAGAGCATCTGCGTTGGTATTTTGTCGTCCTTTTTTGTAAACGACCGTGTAGTCATACTCAGCGAGTTTAAGTCGCCACCTAGTCAATTTTGAGTTAGGGTCTTTTAGTGACATTAACCATGTCAGGGGTCTATGGTCGGTGTATATAGCAAATTTTCGTCCATAAAGATAAGGCCGAAAGTATTTCACTGCCCAAACAATGGCTAAGGCTCCTTTTCTATTGTTGAGTACTTCGCTTCCGCATCCGAAAGTGTCCTCGATGCGTATGCTATTGGTTTGTCTGAGCCTATCTTTCCTTGAGAAAGTACTGCACCAAGGGCTACGTCCGATGCGTCTGTTGTCAGTACAAATGGTTCGTCAAAATTTGGGTACTGCAATATGGGTGCATTGGTTAAAATCTGTTTGCAATTATTGAAGGATTCCAAAAATTCCGGTGAGTGTATAACTTTGCTATTTTTCTTAAGACATAAGGTCATCGGTTTCGTAAGCTTGGCAAAGTCTTTAATGAATTTTCTGTAGTATCCTACGAGTCCTTAAAAAGCTTTTAATCTCCTTCTGTGTTTTTGGTAGTGGGAAGTTCAGAACCGCTTTAATTTTGTCCTGATTAGGCTTTAGTCCTTGATCGGTTAGTTCATGGCCTAAAAATGTGACGTGTTTTTGAAGAAACTCAGACTTGTTCAACTGGATTTTCAGATTATGTATTTTAAATCGTTCAAAAACTTGTCTTAACGTTTCTATATGCTCCTGCAATGACGTTGATATTATTATGACGTCATCGAGATAGGTAAAAACGTTATTAATACCTCTAAGGATGTGGTCCATGAGCCGTTGAAAGGTACTGGGTGCATTTTTTAAGCCAAATGGCATTCTAAGGAATTCGTAATGTCCTCTTTCTGTTGTGAATGCAGTTTTCTCTACATCATCAGGGTGCATCTCCACCTGATGGTATCCGCTCGCCAAATCTAAGGTCGTAAAGTACTGGGCGCGTCCAAGTCTGTCTAAGATGTCGTGCATGTTGGGAAGTGGGTACTTATCTTCTATTATTCTATCGTTAAGCCTTCGATAATCTATGACTAACCTCCATTTTACCTTACCTAGTGCGTCCGGTTTTTTAGGGACAATATGAACAGGGCATGACCATGGGGATATACTTTCACGAATAATACCTTGCTTTAAAAGATTGTCTACCTGATTCTGTATTTCTTTGCGTTGTTGTGGGGCTTGTCTATAACTTCTTACAAATATCGGAGTCTGGTCGGTTAGTCTTAATTGATGTTTAACTGCATGCGTAAAAGAGAGTGGGATATTTTCAGTGTAGAAGATATCTCTATACTGATAGCAAATCTTAGTAATTTCGCGTTTCTCTTCTTCGTTCATATGGTTTGTACGTATTTTATTTAAATTTTTGCGTAATTCTTTCTCTATATCTGCGTTAACCTTTATGGAATTTAAGCTGTGTCTAACTCTATCAAAATTCTCACGGTATGGTTCTAGGTATATCTTTTCATTATTAGAAATTATTCGTTTTTCTGAATTAAAATTTATAATAGATGTCCTAAATTTTCCCTCTTTAACCTCGACCATAGCTGCCGGAGATTTTAAGCCGTTAGACCATATGAATTCATCGTGAATGTACTGACCATCAGAATAATTGGTTTTTATTACTATAACCTTTTCGCATTTTGGTTCAATCGTGAGTTTTTTACTGGGATAGTCAAACGAAATTGGTATCTGCGAGTTAGCGGTGTGTAAAAGTCTATTTTTTATATCTATGTTACAAGATAGCTTTTTCAATAAGTCTAATCCTATTAAGCCTTTATATTTGGGGTCAAAGTCGAATATAAGGAATTTATGAATTATATCACTGTTAAACGCGGGTGGCAGTGGTAGGTAGGCCACTTGATCGTGTCGTGTAATAGCATGTGCTGTTTTTACCTCAAATGGTTCGTACTCTACAAGGTGTTCAAAAATTGTGTTTTGTATTACACTAGGTGATATCATAGAGCGCGAGGCTCCGGTATCTATGAGAAAATTACCTTGAAACTCTGGCAACACAATATATGGCAAGTGATCTTTGTCATGGTTGTTTAATTTTACTAACTTTGGTCTGGGGGCACCGGGCCCTGGGAAAAATCCTGTTGAACCTCACTGTCTTCCATTGGAGGTTCGTATCCCTGTTGGTTGTAGTTGTCGCTACAGTATGCGTACTGACCTTGTTGATACACGTAGTCTGCGTCGTTCTCAGCATATTGTTGTTCGTATTGTTCAGGTGAGCCTGTGTAGAATAGCTCCTCAGCTGCATACTGTGGTTTTTGGGGCTTAGAGACGGATCTCATTGTGACGTCTGAAGCCTTCTGCGCAGGGTTTGCTTGTTGCTGGGGTATATTATTCCTAAAATTTCCTGAGGATGCCCTAAAGTTACCTGATGATGGGCGGTTCTTCCACGGCAACATGGATTGCACCCACTGCTGCCTTTGTTCTGGAGTCGGATTATTTTGTCGTTGAACTGGAGCTTTATTACTCGTCTGGCTTTGTATGGGGCCTAAGTTACTAAACCTAAGCGGTTGGGAATTTTGAGGCTGATTTACAGCTCGTATTGGTTCTCTCAACTTTGCCTGAGCCGAGGTTGATGGTGCACTATAGTTATTATTGTGGAATGTCTTATTAAAGGCGAGTTTAGCTTCCTCTTGTCTCGCTATTACTATAGCTGATTCTAATGTAGTGGGTTGTGCTATTCGAACCGCTATAGAAACTTGAAAATCTAAATTAGTTGTGTATTGTTCTATTACCATGTTTTCGTAATACGACTTATTAGTATGTGTGCCTACAGAAAATAAGGTATCTAATATTTCTCGAAGCCGCCTACCAAGTGTCTCGGCATCCTCGTTTCTATTACGCCGCACCCTACTTAGCTCTTGCATAACCTGGATTTCATTTCTAGGTTCCCTTAATCTACGTACGAGCGCATCCTTAATTGTTTCCCAAGAATTAAGTGTTTCTTGGTGTGCTATCGCATCAATCGCGGTACCGCTTAATCTACTCTTTATGAGACATATAATTGCCGGATGTACCCTGGCAGTATCATCCAAAAGATTAAGGATATTTTCGATTTCTCTGATGTAATGATTTAATCTCTTTGTATTGCCATCGTACTTTGGCATCAATTCCGCGATCATCTTAAAGTTGGCTGCATCGTCGTTAAGAAAAGACATTTTTAAATCAATAATTAAACACTTTATAAGTTTAAAAGTTGGGGCTCTGTGCCTGCCTATTTGCGATTTTAGCTATAAGACAAATACACTATCGGACCTCAACTAAGAGTCTACAGCGATTTTAGCTGTTAGACTTATCCTATGCTATCTATTTGAGCTATAAGATGTATATCTAATCTCCTAACTAAATGTCTATAGCGATTTTAGCTTTTAGACAGAATTACATATACTACTTAAACTAAATACGGAAGGAAATAGAGCAAAGGAACTTGAAATAGCGAGAGTACTCACCAAAGCGCCTTCTGCATCTCCTCACGGGTCTGAGTCAGCTCCACGTGTAGTCTTCGTCCGTACCGCCGTCGTAGATCCGAAGTCGCGATTTATACGATCGAAACCGTTCAATTGGTCGAAGGTTCTACCAATTGTCGCGAAAGACCGACTGCGCCAGTTACGATATGGCGGCGATCGAAAGACTTTTTAAAAAATATATTATTTAATTTCACAAAAGTAACAAAAATAATTAATTCAAAGTTCAAACAAATTGTACATTTATAAAAAAGAAGTTAAGTTATGCGTGGATGGTGTCAGACTGCGAGACAGTTGCATTGTTTCCACGATGATACTTTTCGCAGCGCAAGCGTTCCACATATGTTCATTGTTATGTTCGACTGCTATATCAGCCCGATTCCAGGGTTACGACACGTTAACTTTCCTCACGATTTTTTTCTTTAACGTGCTCAGCAAATGGTAAATCTGTACTTAAAATTGGTGACGGCAGATATCGTACTCTGGTTACACGCGTACTGTAAAATCTACATTGAGCGCTTAATTACTGAGCTAAAACGGCTCATTGCTTCACAACTCCTGTAGAAACAAAAAATTTTACAACAAACAATTTAAGAATCAATTAGCTACTCGTAATAACAGATTCATTTATTTGTCCGTACTTTACAACCTCTATTTTTAAACTGCTTAGTAGCAATAAGCCTATTCAAGAGTACTCCAGTTGGTGTACACATCCGAGATGTGCGCCAACCGACTAGACCAATCCCTGCAATAGCCGACTGTGTGTGTGGTGTTCTCATTTACTAGTCTTTAGGATTAGTGTGTTGCAGCTTTTAATAGATTTTATGACAACAGTTGGCCCTCAGAACTTCGTTCGTCAACAAATTAGAAAAAAAGAAAAAACACTGTGCACATAATATTTTATAATACTCAGTTAAATTTTAGGGAATGATGATTTTTTCATTGCATATTTTTGTTCTAGAACATATTTCGGTTTACCGAAAATAAGAACATTTAACGAAATCAATCCAGATTTATTTGACAAAAATCCAGAGTTGCTACAACGATTAGTGCAGGCATATGACGGAAAACTAGACAACATAGATGTTTATATTGGTGAGAAATACTTCAAGTTTTGCTACTTATATCACATGTCTCATCTAACTATTTATGACTTCAGTATCATATAAACTATTTCATGTAATTCATTCTTACAGGTGGTATGTTAGAATCAACTGGGCATCCAGGCGACTTATTTAGGGCAATAATAATAGACCAGTTCACTAGAATAAGAGACGCGGATAGGTTTTGGTTTGAAAATGACAAAAATGGGTAAGATTTTTTTAAATAAACAGTACCTTTCTATCTACATTAAACTCGTATTAATATTATATTTGGACACATTTTAACATTGTCAATAATTTCAATTATAACGGATCTTTCGTTAGGATATTCACACGCGAAGAAATAGAAGAACTCCGTCGGATTACTTTATGGGATATCATAGTAAACAGTACCGCTGTTGGCCCTAATGACATCCAACGTGACGTATTTCACTGGAACCAAGGAGACCCGTGTCCTCAGCCTTATCAACTAAATGCTTCTAAACTACCACCTTGCAAGTATTTAAAAGGATATGACTATTTTGAGGTAAGTCATTTAACTTTGTCATTTTTGGTGCATAAAGCATCAGTTCTTCTTACCTAGCATCTATTTATGGTCAAAGTGAACAATCATCGTCTAAGCTAACGTACGTACCATCTTTGGTATAATTTTTGCTTTTCATCAGGAACGAGACTTCTTATTTCATATATTTTAAAAGCCTTATATATCATCCGTGCCGTGGTAGCTCAGATGGTTAATTCTCGCTGTAAATGTAACAGAACGCGAGTAACCCGGGTTCGATCCCCGCCGGCACCAATGAAATTGTTAATTACAATTTTAAGTGCTGATTTGCCACGTGCTCGGCGGTGAAGGAAAACATCGTGAGGAAGCCTGCATGTCTGAGAAATAAGAAAAAATATTTCGAAGACATGTGAAGTTCGCCAACACGCATTGGGGCTGCGCGGCGGACACTTCCTTGCCCTATAACCCTCTAAGAAATGAGGGGAGGCCTGTGCCCAGCAGTGGGACGCATATAGGCTGTAACTCTACTTTTATATATCATCACTATTTTGTAGAAAGGGCGAATATACATTATTCGCCGTTTTGCATAATAAAACAGTGTGATGATTAAATTATTAAAATGTAATAAGGGCGAATATGAAATATCAGGCGTTACTTCGTAACAAATAGGTGATATTCGCCGTTACACATTTGTTTTATTTTCTGTTCGCTATTTTTTTGTTCATTACTACAGCTCGATTCAAAAAGACTTAGGGAAATGTTCTGTTACGAAAAAGAAAATCATAAGAAAATGGCTTATTCGCCCTTTCTACAAACCAGTAACGATTATCTTGGTAAAAAAAATACGGAAGCGTAATAAATGATGCTTAAAATTAATAAAAGATTCAAAATTTATGACCATTATCATCAGTCAGAGGTATCGAACAATAATAAACCAACTATTTAAAAACATTAAAATAATTGTATCGTAACGTGTCCAAGCCTTTATCTTTAACTTTATTAACCTCTTTAACTTTATTAAGCTATAATTCATAATACATTTACAAACTTGTAACATAGAATTCTGATTTTGTATATTGTATTACTTACTATTGCTATTGCACTTGCATTATTGAGATTTCCTTTCTAAGGTATAAAACCATCTGACCTGCTTATAAATTGCTCATTTACTGTTGATTTTGGTGGATGACTGATTATATATTGACTTTAAACAGGGCAATGAATTCGCTTACATCTATACATGCCTAGCGCTGGTATTTGTGCCAATTCTTTGCGCCGGCGCAGGGTACGGAGTTGTTAAGTTGCAAAATAGTCGTCGTCGCCGCCTTAAAATACAACAAGAGCACTTGAAGAATGCGCAATACAAAGGTTTTTATTATTTATGCTTACTCTCTTTCTTCCTTTCCTTAAAACCTGACAAAATCCTCTGTTAAACACTCACCTACTCATAGATGGCTTCATAGGGATACCCCCTATTTTCTATAGTTGCCATTCTTTGTTGCGGGATTTTAGATGCATAATACTCATTTTTTGTTAAAAGTCATAACGACAAGGTTTTTTTACGATAACACAACGAGAAAGCAGTCAACCTGATAGTAAGGGATGCTGTGGCTCATACAGCTTTACTACTAAAATGCAGATGCGTTGTCACCCTTGAGGACTGTGATGGAATGCCTCGTTTCCAGTATAAAGGGCCTCCAGCTCACTACACTCATCATACGAAACAAAGCAGCATTAAGGTGCTATTTTACGCAGATATTCTGTGAGAGCGTTGTCCTTCCCTGGTCGAGCCAAGCCATTTAGCTGCAACCATAATATAGTTACAGCAGTTATAGACTCTATCACGTATTATAGTCCTCATAGTGAAAAGTGTTCAATACATAATAAATATCATTGAAAATTCTAGAAGATTAGGATGACCTCCCCAATATTGTAGTATTGACTATGGCCACATTTTCCAGTTATTAAGGTTAAAGTTTTCAATAGTACAAGAGATAATTATAGGTAAAACATACATATACCCAAAAACCCATAATTTGTGGGTTTGGATAGAAGCTTGATCTAAGGAGGCAAGACTCAGGAGTTAAATACGATAACCATTAAGTCATGTTGCAACTTGATACTGAAAGTATAACACTTCAATTCAAATATAACAATTTCTTTCTTAACGTAACGTTTGTATTAAAATGTATTAGGATACATTAGTTTATAGGTACAAGAGGGTATAGTAATACCATCTAGTACCTATAAATGGATGTATCCTAATACGTTTTAATAGTTTAGAAAAGAAGTATCTTTTCTACCTTCTGTAAGAAGGTACTTTCTTACATATTTGTGCTGCAAAGTAGAAGTGTTACAATCCTTTTAGTGTAATAAATCAAGGTAATATTTTCTTTTAAGTAAAATTGCTTTGTAATAACGCCATTTGCTTCATTCTGTAGGTAAGGTCATTTTATCAAACAAAAGTTGATTTAATCTCAATGTAGTACGGTAAAATAGACGCAAGATGGCCTGAAGCTAAGAAATTGTAGGTTTTATTCAATATTGTTAATTTTGTTTATTTAATAAATTTAAATATTATTTGTGTTGTTTATTTTAACAGTTACAATTTATAGTAGCCATCTTTAAAACAACGCACAAAAAAGAGACTAATGCTATTAATATCACTTATATTCCCTTTAACCACTACCGGTAAGCTGACATTGAGTGTGTTAGGAGGGATGTTGGTTTCCTCGAGCTAATCTAGATTTATATGTTTGTCTCTTTTTAGTGTCGCTTTTTCGTTTCATCGACTTACAAATCATAACGATTTTAAAGAAGTTTTCTCATCAAAAAGCATCATTAAAATTCTTTGACCGTCGTTGAATATATTTAAACTATAAATTTGTCAAAAATCTCTTTACAGGCTCAGTAGACAAATTAGTTTGTCGCGAATGGGTGCACGCATCACACAAGCGATTGGTGAAGTTACGACTTGGACCCGAACCATCAATCACCGTCACTGATCGCAAAGGGGACAAATTACGTACAGTGCCGCTAGAGAATACAGATCAAATTACCGTGCTCGAAAGTCAGGTTAGTAAGATTCGTTTTGTCCGCTATTTTTCTCGTTTCTTATTTTTCTTTTCATAGAATTTGGTGACAAACGAGGACACAGTCCAAATGATGGTAAGTGGATGCTGTGGCCTATAGACATCTACAGTTATACGCATAATATATGCAAATAAAAATACAGATGCGTTACCACCCTTAAGGGCTAAGATAGAATGCCTCGCTTCCAGTAAAAAGGGTCTCTGCTTCTCTACACTCACCATACAAAACACAGTAGCATTGAGCTGCTAATTTACGCTGGTATTCCGTGAGAGCGTGGTCCTACCCTGGTTGAGCCGACCCATTCATGCTACAATCATGATGTGTGTGCTACAGTAAACGCAAGTTGAAAAACCAAGTAGACTAAATAAAATGCCAAAATATTTGTGACTTCTAGCTGTTAAATTTCTTAAAAAATTCTACTTAAATAAAAAAAAGATATACAGAGCTATGACTGATGATGAACTCTGTTCAACAGTTTGTGTAAGGAAAATCTCATCCGGTTAAACGAGAACCATGTTGAATTCTAAACTACTTGTGGTCACACGCAATTCAATCAATCACACATTTATCGGTCCATAATAACGCTCGCAGCAGTTAAATATCTCCACCCTATGAGGTAATCTATGGAGGAGGCCTTCTTTCAGCAGTGAACTTTTATTAGACTGTATTGGATATTGAATAGAAAAATAATCTTATTTACTGTTTAATACGGCACTAGCAGTACTTCACAGACAAGTATATCACACAAAGGTAAATCCGAAATAATTATACTTTCAGGAGACGCGAAACAATAAACGTCCTCTAGTTCTCATCAGAGCTCCGCGGGAGCATGACCTCGTGTTGGAAATGGACTCAGTCGCATCACGGCGCAAGTTTCTTGTCAAACTGGACACTTTTCTTGCTCAACATAAGAAGGCCATGAACCTCACTCAAGTGAGTAAATAACGAAAACATTACAATGGCTCTATTGTTATTTATATACACGAGAAATTGAGAATGGTTTTGTTTTTTATCCTTTAAGTTCCCAGATTGACGTAAAAGAGATGGCTCCACACGATATGATGAAGTAGGAGTAATGCTAAAATTAAAATGTTGCTTCATTTTTGCCGTGAAAAAATTCCTAGCAGTATCAATATCTAATGAAAATAGAGTCAACATAATTATTTAATATAGGTATAATAAGTATTTATTGTGTCTTTTATGCAGGGTCATCGAGAACAAATATTGGCGTCTGCTGAAACACGAGAACGCAGGCAACGTAGATTGGAGCATTTCTTTAGAGAAGCGTACGCAATAACTTTTGGTTTAGCTCCTGGAGAAAAGAGGAGACGATCAGTGGACGCTGATCCGGAAGTAAATGCCCTTTGTTATTTATTGCATATGTCACACGTTAATATTTTGATTATACTAATTTACTTTTATTTTTGCCGTAGTCTATAGTTATGCGAACCTCGTTATCGAAATGCGAATTTGCAAGCGCACTCGGAATGAAATCAGACGCGGTCTTTGTGAAGAAAATGTTTAACATTGTAGACAAAGATGGCGATGGACGAATTTCTTTCCAGGTACATATTCCAATATTATTTTTATTTACTCACTTGAACTTGAACTTAAATTCATAGTGCTATTAATGCAAAACCTGAACCTGCCTGACTCGCGTAAAAAAATTATGATTATTCCATAAATATTTTACTATAGTTACTAAAATTTATAGGAATTTCTGGACACTGTGGTGCTATTTTCCCGTGGAGCAACAGAAGACAAATTACGCATTATTTTCGACATGTGTGATAATGATCGTAATGGCGTAATCGACAAAGGTGAACTTAGCGAAATGTTGCGTTCCTTGGTTGAGATTGCCAGGACAACATCGCTACGAGACGAACACGTTACCGAACTAATAGATGGAATGTTTTCCGTGAGTATTCTTTTTACATTAATTGTCTTATTTTTTGTAATTTTATTAAACAAAAAATAATATGAATATAAAAGTTCTGTAAGTTACTTATTCAACATATTGTAAATTTTTACTAATAGAATTATATTTTAATTAGTAAATAGATTAGATTAGAATAAATTACAATTTCGTATAGATCACAAGTAATTTTCTTCTTACGAACTTGACGATGTTGCTTATAAATATTTGTTGTTCTCAATTATAAGAATATATATATATATATATATATGTGTGTGTGTGTGTGTGTGTGTGTGTGTATGTATATATATGTGTATATTTTTTTTTTTTGTGTGTGTGTGTCATGCATCAATAGCCAAAAGGCTACTAATACACCATTTTCATGTACACTTTCGGTACGACTACGCCACAAGCTTAAGCTCAAAAGTCACTCAGCAAGCAATGGAAAAATTTACGTTTGCAGTATCTCCGTTGGGATAAAATTAGTAATGTAGTATATCAAAGTTCATTAATACACCGTTATTACACCGGGCTGGTCATATCTATTGCATAAGTGACAACTATTGAAGAAGAATTGTCCTGAAGTTGAGACAACGCGTAGAATAAAATTATTTTTATTCAATATTGATTACATGTAATTCTTACTGAAAGTAATTTTTTACATTTCCACTGGTTCGAAAAAAAAACTCTTTCCTGGAAAGAACCAGCAAGAAACACAGCGGGACTTTTTTTTAAAGCGTAACTTACACTACAATATTTATACAATTGTTATGAAAACATTTAGAAACAGCACGGTAGCGATCACCTCATAAGTCAACGTAGTAAAATTGCTAAAGAGGTCATCAGCATGTAATAGACAATAGATGCGTGAAACCGAAAATTGAGCGGAGTGGTAAGGCCTTGTAAGAGACCAATTTCCAGCGGCTTAATACCGTAGGCTAGTGATTATCCATTCTTTTCATCCATTACCACCCTTCACAAATTAACTGTTAATCATAGACTTTCCCCAAGGAATGCCACAAAACATAGTCCTAAGTTACCTGCATCCATCGAATTCCTACGGATCTTACGGTGAGCTAAATACGGCCGAGGCCCATTGCCACTTCAATATTTATCCGTTGGGCTATGTTGGTAACCCCGATATGGTGATGATGATAATGATAATGATATTATTGCATACATTATTAAATACTACATATATTGCCGTGTAGTAGCAGCGTAAAAGAATTCATCATTTCATTTCGTCACATAGGTATCATTTACGAGACTGAACTTTGAAAAACGGCAAAAAACTATGTATGGCCTTTTACCGTGTTATGTTTGCTAGATATAAAATACCCATAACGGTTATGCAACGCAAGAAAATTTTGAGACCATTACTGCGAATTCTCCATAGAATGCTATAATACATACATATTAGAACGGGGGAGTGGGCGGAGCCCGTGTAGCCACTAAAATGTCACTAACACGTCAATTCACACGTATAAATGTCAACACGAGATGTGTTTTGACGTTACAATAGTTTCCAAATTTCGCATGCAAATTATTTAGAAAATGCCAAGTTGCACGCTATTTACAAATGAATTATTAAAATCCGTCTGTCAACACAGCGAATCGGGTTTGTAGTAGTGATTATCTGATAATACGATGTAATTGCTTGTATGTGTGCTCCCGGCGACGCCTATCCTCGTACAAAATAGGGTTGATAGCCATTCTATTGTGTATTACAGTATTCTATGGAATTCTCATAACAATGGTTAATAGGCCCGGTTCCAGCAAAGGGTTGCATATGATAAGAAACAAAGAAAAGAGAATTTCATATTTGTGTTTTAATAAAAGGTTTTCAAATTAATTCCAGGATGCTGGTCTTCAACATAAGGACCATCTTACTTACTCAGATTTTAAGTTAATGATGAAGGAATACAAAGGAGAGTTTGTTGCCATTGGCCTGGACTGCAAGGGAGCTAAGCAGAACTTTTTGGATACTTCTACTAACGTGGCTCGAATGACAAGTTTCCATATTGAGCCTTCTATGGAACAATCAAGGTAAAAAATAAAAATAATTAATAGCTATGTAGATTTAAAATTTTACCATAGAAAATAATGGCATAAAAAATAATAAATAAATACTTAAATGCCAAATTAACCAAGAAACCATTTCATCAACCACATATTTTATACTTTTAGGGTGAAAACGAGCATACACCTACATCCATATTTAACTAATAATTGTTAAATTACTCCCTGGGGTTGCTTCACCATTAATTTATGAAAAAAATCTTATTGAGATTTTTAAATCAAAATGCAGATGCGTTGCAATCCTGTAGACTTAATCATAATGCCTCGAAAAATGCGTAAAAATGGTTTTTAGTTCTCATCCCTAACCATATGAAACACTTGGTCGAACTAACCTGTAGATTCATATTAAATGTTCTATGTCTATGACCCATTTGTCAAATTTTAATTGTTTTCAAACCCGCTCGCGTGGGGCATATTGTATTTAAAATTAAACAAATTCTAGCAGCAGAAATATAAGAAAATGATATCTCTATTAAGATTCTAAGACCATTTTTTTCTGATTTTCTTACGATGTAATTTATTCACGACATGTAATAAAACTAAAACTTATTTTTCTTACAGACACTGGTTGCTTTTAAAATGGGATTACCTTACTACGTTCCTTGAGGAGAACAGACAAAATATATTTTATTTATTCGTATTCTACGTCGTTACAATTGGCCTATTCGTGGAGAGGTTCGCTCATTATTCGTTTATGTCTGAGCATTTAGATTTGAGGCATATAATGGGAGTCGGTATCGCAATAACGAGAGGCTCAGCTGCTTCGTTGTCCTTCTGCTATAGTCTTCTGCTGTTGACGATGTCAAGAAACCTTTTAACTAAACTAAAGGTAAGCACAACTGCTGGCCGTATGAGGACGCTCAAGGTCGCTCAGCTCAGCTATGGAGATGTCTATGCTCGGTATTTCTCTGCGAGATAACCAGTAGTACCAGAGTGACCGACATAGCCCAATGGATTAGTAAGCTTAAGTGGCAATGGGCCGGTCATATAGCTCGAAGAACCGGCAACTGATGGGACAAAAGGTTCTCGAGTGGCAGCCTCGTACCGGTAGGCGAAGTGTAGGGCGACCTCCTACTAGATGGTGTGACGACTTGGTAAGACATGCAGGAAGTCGATGGATGTAGGTAAATCAGGACCGTGCTTTGTGGCATTCCTTGGGGGAGGTCTTTGTTAAGCAGTAGTCTTGTGAAGGGCTGTGACGATGATGATGGTGATGAAAGGTGAGTAATTTTTTTTATATACTTTGATATTTTTTGTAATTTATCATCATGAAAATAAATAGATACTTTGAATAGTTTAAGTAAAACTACATTTTATAGTCAATTATGTCAACTTTGACAAATCAATCAAAAAATAAATAGTTTAAAAACATTGAAGTAATATGTTAATAGCTCAATGTTTAAAAGTAAAAAAGCATATGCTTTTATTATGTCATGACATGACATATTATGTCATGCTGCGGGGATTTTTAGGACAGGAAACGTAACGTGCGATTTGGGAAATTTTACGTGTCTTTGAAATAGTTTTTTTCTTAAATATGCTAGCTTCACAGAAACCTAATTATTATTTAGATTTCTGTGGCTAGCTTCTTCACAACGTTTTTCTCTCACCGCTGAGCACCTACATATAATGTGTTGCTATATTTCTGATATAAATTCAAAAAGCTAATTTTTCATCAAAGCTAAATTGTTCCAACTATTCATCATTTAACATTCATCTTTATGTACCTGTAAAAGGAAAAAGGAAAAAATCAGGAGACAGGCAGCATGCTTTGTCGTTTTATTAGCAATGATTTCAAAAGGAAGGATAGGCCCATCTAAATATTTTACTCATAACTTTTTCACGCAAAAAAGTAGCGCATCAGTCATAATACAAACGTTATATACACGACGTAACCAGGGTCGGATTTCGTAGTATAATTATTCTAACTGTACCATTATTTCATAGTTTGTGGTATATAGCATCGTAATAATACTAAGCGAAAATATCATAATTTTACCTAAAGGTCGACTTGTATTATTATTGGGTCCTTTTACATATTAATCGATACCGGGAATTTACGATATCGAGTATTTCTGTATTTTACATGAGTACCGCGTTTTTTTAAATAAAATTTGAATTAGCTCCCTTTCCGTTCAATCGATGCTCGATCGATGCATTGTTGTATCATGTTGTATACATGTTGCATCCTTGATACAACTATAATGACCTACCATGATAAAAACTCTATACTTCAGAAGCAATCGGTTTGAAAACAGAATTTCAAAATATTTTATGAATCAGATTTTAAGATTAAATTAATTACTTTTGTACTCTTTTCGTTTCACCCTTATTGAATATAAAATATATTAGGTACCAATATTCAAAATTTAACTTACTCTACGTTCTTTAGACAAAAATTAAACAGAAATAAAAATAAAACCGTCAAGAAACGAAATGTACCTATAGATAAACTAGACGCTTGACGCCAAAATTCCGGCCATGGACGAAAAAGAAACATGAAGCGTCAAATGTGATATAATTTTTTTTAAATAGTATAATTTTATTGCCATGTACAATATTTTTGAGGGTCTGAATCTAACCCTGGCCTTATCTTGGCAACGTAACTAAACTAACTGTAAAATAAAAATAAAAATGCGTTTATATAATAATTTAATTGTAACAAAATTAATATTTACCGATGATACGATATCCCATGTTTTTTTTTAAATCTTTGCATCGTAATTTTTGCATTCTTTTACCACGCAACTAGACATATTTATGACAGACAAATCTGTCCTGCGCGCGCACTACTGTCGACCAATTCGCGTTGGCCCTAAACTGTAATTTGAGGGCCAGCGCACTGGTCCGTTTTAGTTGTTAGGTCGGCCCGGTCCTTACGCTAGTAATATATAAGTCAATTTTTATTAGAGACCAATATTTATGCATTCTTTACCTAGTAAATTATTGAAACAAATGTTAATCGTAAAGTGATCGTTGTATGTTTGATATATAAGATTAAAAAAGAAGATTTGAATCGGGTAATACTTTTGCGGAAATTCATTAAAGATGTGATAATTATTGAGCTAAATAATAAGAATTTTGCATGGATCTTACCTAATTAATTTATTTTGACGTGTAAAAAAGTCTTTGAAACACATGACATGCATAAAAATATATTCCTCTTAAAACAATAAATATTATAAAAAATATGCAACTCAAATGTAAATAAATTATCATTTTCAGGAATTCAGTATACAACAGTATATTCCGCTCGACTCCAGTATACAATTCCATAAAATTGTGGCATGCACTGCTCTATTCTTTTCTCTTCTTCATACTGCGGGTCATATGGTCAACTTCTATCATGTTTCTACACAACCAATCGAAAATCTAAAATGTCTGACCAAAGAAGTTCATTTCACCTCTGATTTTCGACCTGGAATTACTTACTGGGTGTTTCAAACAATTACAGGTAATGATTGAAATGGATTTTAATGATGTTCTTTGAAATTGTCATATTTTACGGAATCTTCGTATATACAGGTTGGAAAAAACGTATATACGGGAACTTGACATGAAAGTACTTTACATTAAATATGGAAAGTATTAAATTTCACTAAAAGGAAACATTTCTTTGTTTTTCAAAATAAGAAAAACCCCATTTAAGTTGATGTACTTTCCCTTCACGTCCCTTTTGTATTTTCAAACCTGTATAATAAACTACTTAACAGCCGAATAAAATTCCCCCACCTACCTTTTTATAATTTCAGGTATATCCGGAGTACTACTTTTCATAATTATGTGCATTATATTCGTGTTCGCGCACCCCGTGATCCGCAAGAGAGCGTACCCATGGTTCTGGCGCGCGCACTCCCTGTACGTGGCATTGTATGCACTATGCCTTGTGCATGGCCTGGCTCGCCTCACTGGGGCACCACGCTTCTGGATATTTTTCCTTGGACCTGCCATAATTTATACGTTGGACAAGGTTATTATGCACTTTGCTATTTGATTCCATTTGTAATTGAAAACTATAATAAGTAATAACTAACTACAATTATAGCTTTATAGTGTGCTGTACGACTAAATGCATTTTGATTTTTTTGATTTTTCCATCTAAAATAAGCGTTTTCCGGCGGCGGGATAGAGAATATATCACCCATATCTTTTTATAAACGCACAACCCCATGTCATCTTAGAACGAAACTGCACTGGATATAACCTCGCCCAATCGGAGACAGAGTTCAACCAGTTTAGCTTTCAACGAAGTGTCTTTAAAAGATTTAGATTTTGATCAGCGAATGTATAAAGCATTGTCAGTGCTACCACAAATCATTGATAGGCATAAATGCAGGATTGGCGATAGAACGCAGCTTTGTGAAATATGGGGAAGAGGAAGAAGATCAGAAGTCTTTCTATAATCTCCGATGGATGGCTTCGTGTATAAAATATATAAATTATGCCAATATAAAATTCACTGGTTGATTTGCAAATTTTTTGTTGGTCGGCAAACCAAAGGCAAGTGCACGATCAAAGGTGCGAAACGTCTGGTAACTGAATCGCCAATTTATCTGCCAAGCGACAAATTCTTCATAGTATAAGAAAGATACATGTCTAACAGTAAACAATAAGGAGCATATAAAGAAGAAAATACAAAATTTTATAAACAATACCTCGCCTTAACTATAATAATTTCAAAATATTTATTTAACGCAGGTGGTTTCATTACGCACGGAATATTACCTCGCCTTTACTATAACTATTTCAAAATATTTATTTAACGCAGGTGGTTTCATTACGCACGGAATATACCTCGCCTTAACTATAACATATTTTCAAAATATTTATTTAACGCAGGTGGTTTCACTGCGCACGGAATATTTAGCGTTAGACGTCTTAGAAACTGAAATGCTGCCTTCTGATGTCATCAAAATAAAATTCTACAGGCCGCCTAACCTTAAATATTTATCAGGTAATATCTTACAATAAGTATGATATCTTATACCTTTTAACATTTTTGAAATTTATATATTCACCACTTTATAGACAAGGTAGAACTTTTTCCTGCAGTATGACGTTGAAAAAACATCACGGTACGATAATGCAAATATATAATGAATTCTACGTACGTCAAAGTCGTGTCCTTTGTTTTTAGGGCAGTGGGTACGACTCTCTTGCACAGCTTTCAAAAAAGAAGAGTTCCATTCCTTTACTTTAACATCAGCGCCTCACGAGAACTTCTTATCATGTCACATCAAAGCTCAAGGACCTTGGACGTGGAAGCTGAGGAATTACTTCGATCCTTGTAACTACAATCCAGAGACGCAGCCAAAAATAAGGTACTGGTTCATATGAAAGGACGCCACATCATCGTTCTTCTTCATATTTTAAATTATTTTTTTTTATAAAAAACGTGTGACCTTTATGGCTGTTTACAAGTTGTAAGTCCTAAGATCTTATACATGACTCATTCCATGTTAGCCCAGTTGTTGGTCTGGTGTAGATATTTTCTTTAATTTCATCAGACTGTAAATTTCCAAAGCTTGGCATGAGCCGCTGCAGTTGTACCTACCTCTGGACGAACAATCGAAACGTTGTTCGTCCTGACGCGACCTGACGCTTTTGTCGCTAGTCTGGATATGTTAAGGAAATGATTATACTATCATTTATGTAAAGCCATAAGATCTTCCTGTGGTTTTCCACAGTTGTCTCTTACATTGTCTCTATCTTCACAAAAAAATATTTTTCAGTTCAATGGATAGATATAATCAATTAAGAGTCTTATATCACATCACATCACAGTCATTTATACGAAGTAGTCACGCTGCAGCTATATTATGGTTGTAGCACGAATGGGTCGGCTCGACCGAGGAAGGAACACACTGTCATAGAATACCCACGTAAAATAGCAGCTTAATACTGCTGTGTTTGTACGGTGAGTGTAGAGATCCGCAGACCCTTTTTTACTGGAAAGAGGCATTCCATCTTAGTCCTCAGGGGGTGACAACGCATTTGCGTTTTGATTCTTAATCGAGGATAAATATAGATGTATATGGGCCACAGTAAAAATTTACCATCAGGTAGAATGTGTCCTCGTTTGTAATTCTTATTCTATTAAAAAAAACATCACATTGGCGCTACACCTCCACCTAGTGACAACCACCAAAAGGATTACGGATAACAAGCGCCGCATCCGCGAAAGGGTGGGTACCTTCCTTCCACTGTATGTACTTTCCGTACACCCGTGTATGTACCTGGGAGGTTCTCACTGTCCAGATCGACCATATCGAGTAAAGCCGCCAAAGGTGGGGTCCGTACGCCCAGGCTCGGACGGCCTATGTTTAACAGCACACTATTGACAGATACTCATCATAATATACAGAAAGATTAGTGAGAGGAAAGCTGATATTTTTGCTTCCAATGATAATGCTGCTCCCTTTTACCAATCTTTTTTTATATAGAATGAGGGTGATGAGTGAGCATATAGTCCACCTGACAGTAAGTGAATGTTGTGGCCCGACATCTATCTTCGATTAAGGATCAAAATCCGGTCCTCTACACTCACCATACGAAACACAGCAGCATTTAGCTATTATTTTACGCTAGTATTCTGTGAAAGTGTGATCCTTCCCCGGTCGAGCCAACCCATTCGTGTTACAACCATAATATAATTGCATCGTGTACATCCACCAAATGTAAAACGTGTTGTAGCTGTCTATTTAAAAAAAATGAAATAAATATGGTAAGTGGCGAAAAAGGTGGCTGCAAATGCGTTGTCAACTCTGAGGACTAAGATGGAATGCTACGTAACTTTTAATTACCGTATTTATTATATAGCGGTAACTACATTTTTCTGTATATTTCAGCGTTTTTGGTTGGATTCCGATCACTATAGTCTCGTACATCATTTAACAGGCTGTATTGCGTATAGTTGACGTTTTAAACAGCATATTTGCTATTACAACACATTTAATGCGAAACAGTTTCTTTTATTTGCTTCTTAAAACTAACTACTGGTCTTGTATACCAATAGAATTCAAGGTCCGTTCGGCGGTGGAAATCAAGACTGGTACAAATTCGAAGTAGCAGTAATGGTGGGCGGTGGTATTGGCGTCACTCCGTACGCGTCTATACTTAATGACCTGGTCTTTGGCACATCAACAAACAGATATTCTGGAGTTGCCTGTAAAAAAGTAAGTAATTAATAACAGAATAACATTTAAATTATATTTTTCCAATTTGAAAGTTGGACACAACATTACGAAATACTGCCTGCTTCTATACTAATATCGTGTAATAGAATTTATTTATTTTATACAGTATGATATATTTTATAATACTTTGTAAATTAGGATTTTTTTTCATTTTGAGTGGTTAACTATTACGTACAGTCGTGATTCCTGGTATCGGATAATAGGTGAATAAATTTTTGAATGTGCGACTTATTTTATTTTTTACATGTTACTTACTCGTTTTCGAATCTTTCGATCTCCAATTTCAAAATGTAAGGTCGTGATAGATATTAGGCTGAATCACAAGATGATTCCAAGTTAATTGAAAGTTAACTGGTAATAAATGAACCTCTTTAATTTTCCAATACTACAGTACTCTTTTATCACTAGTACCCTGTAATATTTCACACTAGTATTGGGACTGCTTCATTTGACAGTACAACATCATGAGTTTCAAGCTATATTTAGGTTACCAGCCAAAAATGTTAAGAATCGCTGCCATCGAGATTAAACAAAAATTATTACTTATAAACTCTTGCTGTTGCTTACAAGTTTTTTATATACTGTTGCTTACAGGTTTACTTTTTGTGGATTTGCCCATCACATAAGCACTTCGAATGGTTTATCGACGTGTTACGCGACGTTGAAAGGAAAGACGTTACCAACGTGCTTGAAATACATATATTCATCACACAATTCTTTCACAAATTCGATCTGAGAACTACCATGCTGGTATGTAACATTAAGATGCAATGCATGTCTTTAAATAATTACTTGTACAAAAACAATTCAATACGATATATGGTTATGTGTGCAATGTGTTCCAGTACATCTGTGAGAACCATTTCCAACGTCTATCCCGCACCTCCATGTTCACTGGATTAAAGGCGGTCAATCACTTCGGCAGGCCTGATATGTCCTCATTCCTCAAGTTCGTCCAGAAGAAACACAGTTATGTCAGTAACTTACTTATATTACTTATTTACCGTGCAACCGTCCGTATAAATAATATTCGAACTTATACGTATATATAATTTAATATATATACGTATAAGTTCAAATATACACTGAAAGCAATGTTCCTTTAATTCCTGGGATGAATGAACTATTTGTACTATCTACATACATAATTAAGTTTACGGGAACCCTCTTGGGGTACGGCAAAACTATTATAGCAAAATGGTAGAGCATAGTGAGATATTACTAGAGTAGTGGAGCTTTACGAACTGATTAATTGCCCTCAGTTATCATGCTAGCCTAAATTATTCTTAGTGTTCTTAATTATTATTGTGATTGATTGATTGTCCACCGCCACCGTCACCGGGACGTCAACAAGAACGAGATATCTCTGGACGAACAACCGAAAGGTACGAACCTTTGACGCTTTTGTCGCTAGTCTGGATATGTTAAGGAAATGATTATACTATCATTGATCTGAAGCCATAAGATCTTCCTGGTGTTTTCCACAGTTGTCTCTTACATTGTCTCTACCTTCGCAAAAATATTTTTCAGTTCAATAGATAGATATAATCAATTAAGAGTCTTATATCACATCACATCACAGTCATTTATACGAAGTAGTCACGCTGCAGCTATATTATGGTTGTAGCACGAATGGGTCGGCTCGACCGAGGAAGGAACATACTGTCATAGAATACCAACGTAAAATAGCAGCTTAATACTGCTGTGTTTCGTACGGTGAGTGTAGAGATCCGCAGACCCTTTTTTACTGGAAAGAGGCATTCCATCTTAGTCCTCAGGGGTGACAACGCATTTGCGAAAACTATTATAGCAAAATGGTAGAGCCTAGTGAGATATTACTAGAGTAGTGGAGCTTTACGAACTGATTACGATGATTACGGAAGATATTTTTGGAAATGTCACTAAATCTGATATCATTAATTGCCCTCAGTTATCATGCTAGCCTATATTGTTCTTAGTGTTCTTAATTATTATTGTGATTGATTGATTGTCCACCGCCGCCGTCACCGGGACGTCAACAAGAACGAGATGACGGCGCCAAGGTAGCTGTTTTGATCTACTACAGCCGCCTGTCTACCGCAAGCCCGTTGCCCGAACGTTGTCATCCTGACCGCCGAAGTTTAGAGTAGATCGGCGCGACCGCTAGAACTCGGCCCGCGATTGTGAGGAGCCGATGTACCGGTAATACAAAACACAATTATACCTGTCTATCCACACCGGTGCCGTGACGTCGCACAACTAGAACTAACTGACTGAACCACCTAGATCATCGTGGTGGACAAATGATCGCTGTCACGTCATCTCGATCTCGACCAGAAATAATCTCGTTCTCGTTGAGGTACCTTGATGGCGGCGGTGGACAAACGCCGTATTTTTTTTTTCTAAAAGGTCTCATGGACACAAAAATCCCAAATAATGCGTAACATCTATTTTGTACAGGTTTCAAAGATCGGCGTATTCTCTTGCGGGCCACGGCCACTCACTAAATCCGTAATGTCAGCGTGTGAACAAGTCAACCGTACACGTCGTCTGCCATATTTCATACACCACTTCGAGAACTTCGGATAATAATTTTGTTAAGTCGCTTCGGCTACTGAAACAAGCATAAACATTTAGTTTTTCGAGCAATAAAATTAAATTTGTAATTGCTTTCCTAAGATCATAACAATGAAAAAAAAACAATGGTGAACTTGAAATAATTATTTGATTTAATAGTGTATATTTTCTGTTGATGAAATATTAGCATATAAATAGATTTTAAAAGATGTCGAGAAACATGTGTTTATGGTATTTTAGCTAAGTCAAACATCCTTTAAAGCAATTCTTTTTAGGATATTTATTTATTTTCTCCAACCGCTTAAAATTAAAATTAGGTTTTTACTTTATCACAAATGACTCAAATGATTTTTTTTACTTATTTTTTTTAATTATTTTTTTTAATTTTCTGTAATAATTTAGTACAAATATAAGAACAATGCATTTGAATGTACAAATGATTTTCGCTTTTGTTTAGATTTATAAATAATACTCACTGCGTTTAAAAATCCTAATTTATATATATTAAACTTTTATTAAATTTCAAACAGTGCTATGTTATGTAAATAGTGTAAATTAAAATAAGTAATCGGCTATTAAATGAATTAACGAATTTTTTTACAAATAATTCATTAATATGTAAATAGACAAAACTAGATTAAATTATGTTTCCTTTATACACCTATTTTATTTGTGTACACAACCATCTAGTGATAAACATTAACGAAAAAACACTGCAATGCGCATCACTTTACAATGTTCTGTTGTTAAATTCACTTAAATTTCTACACGAAGTATCACCGCAACTGTGAAACTTCACTACTAACTTCTTGTTATATATTAAGTTGGGTCTCTTCTCATCTGTGAGAGAGTTATAGAGAGTTTTAGTCCGATGCGTCGTACCAGAGCTTGTTGGCGTAATTCACATGTTCTGAAAATATTTTATTCTACAGGCATGCTGGTTTTCATTATAGAATAAGTCCACCCGATGGGTCTGGATGCAGTGGTCCAGTATGCATGCATCCTCGATTAAGAATCAAATTGCAGAGGCGTGATCACCCCGGAAGGATTCAGATAGAATGCCTCGTTTCCAGTTAAAAGGATATCCGGTTCTCTACGCTCACCACACGAAACACAGCATCATTAAGCTGCTAATTTACGCTGGTATTCTGTGAGAGCAAAATTCTACCCCGGATCGAGCCGGCCTATTCGTGCTACATCCATAACATAGCTGCAGCGTCGCTCTTCCACGTAAAATGGGTTTCTTCATGATGTTTCACCATCACGGTGATCAACATACGTGGTCAATCAACACAAATTAAAACTAAAAGTTTTATTCGTGCCCACGGAGATAGAATTCTGGTTGCTCTCGTACTATGAAACTTACAGCGGGCACTTAACGCCTGAGGGAGACGTGGTAAACGTCTCCTTATTTTAAAACAAACAATGAAAAATAAGTTTGTTAAAAATGTTAAAATTAATAAACTAAGAAGAAGCTTGATAGATTTACTTTATTTATATATCAATTTTTGATTGCAAGGTTCCATCTGCATTTAATAATTACTATCTAAAATCCTCTCATAAATTGTAATGCTAATAACGTAATAACGTGACTTGATAATTAAATTCCAATTACGATCTGATGCCACGATAAAGAACACAGCAATCAATTTTCTGCATATTTAAGTGAATAATGCTCCTTCATCATCATCATCATTATTACAGCCATTTACAAGTCCACTGCTGACATAGGCCTCTCCCCAGAAATGCCTCAAAGCACGATCCTGGATCACCTGCATTCATCGGCTTCCTGCGTGCCTTACAAGGTTGTCACTATATCTACTTGGAACCGATAACCGATAGGGACGAAAGGTACCTATAAGTGGTCGATTCTTAGAGCTACATGGCCAGGTCATCGATACTTTAGCTTACTGATCAGTTGCACAATGGCGTTCCACGGTGGATAACCTTATTGCTAAGATATAATAATATTATTATTTCATAAATATTACAACAACTTTGTAAGAATTCCTTCCGAATTTAAGGAATGAGGAAAAGAAATAATACCCGCAATAGAACCAGAGTGACCGACATAGCCTAACGGATTAGTAAGCTGTAGTGAAAATGGGGCAGCCATATAGCTCGAAGAACCGGCAACCGATGAGGAAAAAAATGTTCTCGAGTGGTAGCTTCGTACCGGTAGGCGTAGTGTAGGGCGACCCTTCACTAGATGAAGTGACGACCTGGTAAGGACATGCAGGAACATGGTGGAAGTCGTTGGATGCAGGTGACTCAGGACCGTGCTTTGTGGCATTCTTTGGGGAGAGGTCTATGTTCAGCAGTGGACTTGTGAAGGACTGTAAAGATAATGGTGATGATGATGAGGAAAAATAAAAATCTATTACATACAAGAGAATTCATCATCCCATTTCTACCCACGGGTAGATGAATGACTTCCGAAAGATGGCAGTTTAGCCATTTTGTTTATGCCAGACATAAAACACAAACCGGCGATAGGCAGATGCGTCAGAGATACGACACCTCTCGTACCACTTGTGGTGATTGAGACAAATCTCCTCTCTGTACTGATAATAATATAATGAATACCTTACTTAAAGTTGGTAAGAGCTAAATCGTCCACATCCGCTCAATAAAATAAAATGATGTGTCTTACCTAGTTTGAAGAGCACCTTCTGCCCTTCGTCATCCCAACACCACTACTCCAAACACCACTACACGAGGCGAAACACCCGTCGTATTATCGTCGGTGGTGTTTTTTTTTTTTAATGTTGGGAGTTGCTCTTCGAACTAGGTAAGACACATCATTTCATTGCAATGAGAGGATATGGGCGAATTAATTCTTACCAAGTTTAATATAAGGAATTTCCGTAAAGTAACGCCTGATTCAGTGAATAAACTGTTGGCCGTATGAGGACGCTCAAGGTTGCTCAGCGTACTATGGCGAGGGTTATGTTCGGGGTTTCTCCGCGTTATAAACTTAAAAATGAGGATATATGCAATAGAACCAGTTTGACCGAGATAGCCCAACGGATTAGTAAGCTGAAGTGGCATTAGGCCGGCTATAAAGCTCGAAGAACCGACAACCGATGAGGAAAAAAGGTTCTCGACTGCGGGCAAAGTGTGGGGCGGTCCGCCCACTAAATGGAGTGACAACTTGGTAAGACATGCAGGAAGCCGATGGATGCAGGTGGCTCAGGAATGTGCTTTGTGGCATTCCTTGGGGGAGCCTATGTTCAGCAGTGGACTTGTGAAGGGCTGTAATGATGATGATGATGATGCCTGATTGTATGAATGAATGATGAATGCCTTACTATCTAGTTCCATTCAATTTTAAATTAATTAAAAATGAATTTGTTGTACGTTTTATGAACAATAATGATACGAGTATATTATGATTGTTCCTCAAACTTTCAGATTCATACTTGAATTATGTATGGCTTGGTGATTCCAGATTGGCTCTTAATTTGAAGTAAGAGGCAGCAACTAGCCTTGCATTGACTTAACTATTACGACTTACACACGGTTAACGCGATCAGCTAACACACATAAATATATATTATTTATTTACTCTATATTGCATTCCCGATTACAAAATTATTATTTTTGTATTCAAAGGATTGATTTATCAATTTAAAGAACTACCAATTTGTATTTTAAAATATAATGCAAAATTTTATTATAATTAATTAATGTTGTCTATCTTAATACCTACAGTATACCCGGATGATCGAGCTGTGCTCGGTTTTTATTTTCAAATTACATTTAGATACAAATTACATACTGATGAATGATATTTTTTGATCTTATTGACATAATAAAAAAACTGAACTGGTTATTTGAATAAAAAATCGTGAGTGCAATTAGTTTAATTAAAATTTTCGTATTTTTAAAATATACTAAAAAAAGGGCTCGTAAATAATAGATTTTCTCACAAAAGAAGGGAACTTTAAAAAAAAAGGAAAGAAAATCGGACCAAAGACGGGACGCGAACCAAGGCATTAAGATTTTGCCGCCGCTCGATATCCACTTGAGCTATTACGATCATTAACACAGTATCAAAATTTACCTTCTTATATTGTAGCAGTTTTTCATTGCCTAAAAAGACGGACAAAAAAACATTTTCTAAAAATAAATCCTAGCTGGATCGATTTATTGCCCCCGAAACTCCCTATGAAAATCGTTGGAGCCGTTTCCGAGATTGATATTATATATATATATATATATATATATATATATATATATAGCTCGTTTAAAGGTATAGGATATTTCATGTTGGTGACATGCATATTAACTTGTAGCGGTGTTAGAACATTCACTACCCCGTATCGTCCCGTGGGTGTCGTAAAAATTTTGACGTGGAAGAGCCATTCTGAAGCTATATTAGTAGTATAGTTATAGCACAAATGGGTCGGCTCGACTGGGGTAGCTCTCACAGAATACCAGCGTAAAATAGCAGCTTAACGCTGCTATGTTTCGTACGGTGAGTGTAGGGAATCGGAGACTCTTTTTACTGTAAACGAGGCATTCTATCATAGTCCTCACGGGTGAAATTGCGTCTGCATTTAGATTCGTATATATTCATAAACTTTATTGATGGTATGTTATATACAGTTCTTCAATTATTAGAACACTTTTTAAAAACTCCCATATTTGTGTTTATTATATTGGATACACCTGGACGCGTACCCCGACTCACTACAATTATATAGAGGCAATATAAAGAGGACCAGAATGGTATAAGGTTGAGGTATTATAACAAGTCCCAAAATCATATCCAACCGTTTTCATAAAGGAGGCTTCTCAATTCAGGTGTATGTTGTTTTTTTTTTGTATATATGTTACGCGATATCTTAGCAGATTGTGAACCGATTTAAATGATCCCTTTTTTAATTAAATTAAAAATTAGGAATAAAAACTCCGCCCTTAAGGGTGGGAAATAGGGGGAAAAGTTTCATATTGGACTTTAATTTTAAGGAATGTTGTATGATTTCTTTGCAGGTTGGGAACATATT